AAAAAAAAAATTAAAGAACAAAGAAATACAACATTTATTTTCATCCATAAATAAAGCAGTAAAAGCATTTTATTTTCAAAATAAGAATTATTGAGCTTTTGCTTCTTCATGCTCCACAGGAAGTTTCACTAATGTACATATCTGATTTTAATAGTCTAACAGCTTTTAACTGCCTAGATTCAAGGAGTAGGCTTTAGAGGCAATTGAGAAGGTAATAACAAAAAGATCAGGAAAAAATTGGAATTCAAGTTTTTTAAAAGTAACTCTAAGTTAAATTTATTAGAAGTTAATTTTGATTCTACAGGATATTTTGCTCTCTTGGTAAATTGAAATGCATTGTTATTATTACTCCACTGTTTTAGTATGTTCTTTCTTAAGTATAGTAGACCCCCGTTACCTGTGGGGAATATGTTTTAAGACCCCCCCATTGATGCCCAAAACTGCAGAGAGTACCAAAACCTATACATGCTGGTTTTTTTCCTATACATACATATGATAAAGTTTAACTTATAAATTAGGCACAGTAAGAAATTAACAATAATAACTAATAGTAAATCAGAATAAATATAACAACATACTGTAATAAAAGTTATGTGAATGTGGTCTTTCCCTCCCTCTCTAATATCTTTTTGTACTGTAGTCATCCTTCTTCTTGTGATGATGTGAAATGATAAAATGCCTATATGATGTGGTGAAGTAAGGTGAATGACATAGGCATTTTGACATGGTGTTAGGCTGCTAATGACCTTCTGGAAATAAGTCAGAAGGAGGTTCATGTGTTTCCAAACAGTAACTGACCACAGGTGACTGAAACCATGGAAAGGCAAACTACTGTATACCTTTTGGATTCTTTAATGGAGAATACACAAAATTTTGCACAAGAATCTTATTATATGGGGAATTATTATTGTTATATTAATTATTATATGTAGCAATTTCAGAAGGAGATTCTTTTCATTTGTTTCTTCACATCACATGAATACTATGAATAAGCCTGAAATACCATACTAAATCAGTTGGGCCTTTTGGAGGGGATAGGGTGATGCAGGCTTTTCCTCTCAAACAGATAGGGAGTAATGAATATCATCTACTTGGATAGACTCAATGAATAGTATCTACTTGGACTCAGATACTATGTGAAATTATAATTTATTGATTTGTTTAGGTGAATGAAACTTTAACCAAGGACATGTGCATTTCCAAATGGCCAGTAAACTATCCTATTTTAATATGCATATAATATCTAGTCATACAAAATCTCAAATATCTATTCTACTCTTAGTGGAAAAGATACAGAGGGACACCTCATCTCTTTGAGGACTTCTAATTATTATGTCTTCATTTTAGTCTGTTTGGGAACTTAGACAGAGGAGCTGCCTATTTGTTCATTGCTCCGAGAAAAATGAAATTATCCTCTATATTTTTTGCAGGTGTTTCACAAATCAAAGTAGGAACTTATAAGACACTAATAGAACACTCTCACCTCTCATAGAGTGAATTCTTGCTTGGAATGCAGATTTTCCTACAATATTTCAGGATAATAATTGATAAATAGGCTATGAAAAATATTGTCAACCATAAATTATAACAATGGAAAAATAAATATTCTTGGTAGCAACTGAGCTAGGACTTGCAAAATCAAAATATCAGTTCAGAGAAAGAACTTAGCTCTAATGATCCTTGAATATCTATGCAATAAATTCTACTTTGTATTTTAGTTTGGCACTATATGCTAAATTGACTGTCCTACTCTTTAATATGTATTTGTCTTCTTTAATGACCATCTTGTCTTCTAAAATTATCTTATTGCCCTTTATGCATCCATAGTAACTTTTACCCTTACTACAAAATTTCAGCTTGTTCAGAGAAAGACTGCTGAGAAAGATTTTTTTTTATTTATAGACTAAGGTTTATTTTAAAGTTTAATGTGGTCATCAAAGGTTAATGAGTCCCAAGCTTATAAATTAAACTACCTAAAGACTCACTCAACATCTCTAGGCTGATTCAGGAATGAGACTAAAAGTAGCAAAAAAAAAAAAGAGAAAAAGAATACATATGTACACCCATATCTTATACATGTACATATAGAGAGAATTTTATGGAAATGTTGGTATTTTGAGATAAAACAATTTGTGGTATGACATTTATAATCTCCAGACATTTAGAGGTGCCATTTCCAAAGGAAATTTGTTTCCTTTCAATGTATCAACCCATAAGTTAAGTTAAGGGTTGGGGAGTAAAATGAGACAATTCAACATGTCAGTGTGTGCCATCCACACATGTCTGTGCATGCATGCACATTTACATGGACACACACACACACAGCATTGCCAGTGAGGATGATATCATCTTGAAGAAAGAGCATGTCCACATTCTTCAGCACAAGCATACATAAGATTTTACCCAAAACTCTTATTTCATGAGGAATTTCATCACGTTTGAGGAGATTCTTTTCAGTGTTTCTTCACATCATGTCACATGAAAAAACCTGAAGTAACATATGATCCCATTTGGCATTAGATGGACAGGTCTGGCAGAGCTTGGTCCTTGATCACATTGATGCAAAGAACCTTGATTCGAGAGAACCTTGGTTCTATAGAATTCTCATAAATAAATATGTAGTATTTTTACCATGGTCAGTCCACCTAATATTTATAACGTGTCTAAAAATGCATATTTAATCACAGTAAAAGGCAAAGGAACTTTGTTATAACAATTAATAGTTTAGTAATATAGAACATTACTCAATAAAGAAAATTAAAACCTGAAAGAGTGGAATCATTCAATCTAGACCTTGACACCTCATGTGGTTATCTGAAATAACAAAAGAGTGTTTAAAAGTATATATTTCTAATTATAGAAATATCTGAGTTTATTATAGAAAATTTGAGAAATACACAAAAGCACTAAAAAGGTAAAAGTTATCCCTATTTGTACTGCTAAGGGAGGACTGTTGGTAATAGTAATATTATGATCCATACCCCTCATCTATAATTCCAAAGCTCAGAAGCCTCTGAAAACCCTGGAAATTTTCCCCAGATTTGCAGGAAATTCTTTTGGCAGCAGAATGTGACCTGAAATCATATGGAGCCGGTCTATTTAACCCACTTGATAAGAATATCATGTTTTGCTACAGAAATATTTGTACGTTTATTAGAGGGTGCTGCCCCAACGCCACTGGGAGTGTTATGTAATATCTAGTGTGAGCACTGTGTTATTTTTATTTAAAAAATCAGAGAATTCAGAATTCTGAAACACATCTGACACCAGTTTCCAGATGAGGTACTTTGAACCTCTATCATTCTCATCTTTTATGAAGTGCATTGAAAATTTTTAATAATTTTAAACATTACTCTCTGTAACTATATCATATTCATATATTCAAGTATCTTAAACCTTATCCAGTATAATTAGCATTATTCTACAAATCCAAGAAGAAGGGGGAGGGGTATTCATTCACTTTTATGCTTAAGCCATTAAAGGGTTCTAAATTTAAATTCACTGATGAGCCAAATTTCTTCTTATAATGAACTGTTCAGCTAAACTAAATATTATATCATAAAACATATTCCATTTTCCCACTAGCTGAAGCATTAGTATAATCATGGATTTCTTTGATGGCGTTCTGCCAGTTTGAAATTTGTATGTCCGTGCTTTAGCAAAGCCAGAGTCTCAGTGATGCTATTGTTGATGGGGTGGCTCTGGAAGCTCAGAAATGCTCCATGAATCACCAGACACATTAAATTATGTTTGTTGCAGATTCCGTATCATGGCATTTTAGCTCATCATCCTTACTCTTTGAAAATGGGCATTTGTATATTATATATATCATGTTTTCCAGCCAACATAGATGTTTAATTTCAGTAGTCGAAATATTTGATCAACTAACATGCCTTGTTTCTAACCACGTGACAGGCTAATGGGAGCAACTGTTTCTTCTAGGGTCTTCAAGGAATTCCAGGTCTTCCGGGTGCCCCCGGTCCCACTGGACCCCCTGTGAGTATTTGCTAAAGCTGTACCACTAACGCTTCATATCTGCTGGGGTGATGCAGGTTGAACTAAATTCCGCATTGCCTTTCATTCTCTGGGCCTTTCTAGATTATCCAGCTGTTGCCTAGAAAAGTAGCATCCTATAGCTCAGATTTTCATTTAGTACTAACGTTAAGGCTTCCCTGGGGCGTGGAGACTTGTCATCAAAATTCTGCCAGACCAGAAAGCAGTCTGTGATTAGGCTAGTCCCTTTGAATAGAAGTTAGATGTAAAGAAGCATTCTATTTTTTAGTTACACTCTTTTAGCATTAACCTTTGGAAGAGATATTCAGATGGTTACACCCTTACATTCTTAAGCTAAACTTAGAATATAAACTAAGAATAGACTAAATATTTTTAAGGGGGAAAATGGGGTAAGGATAAATTAAGAAAAATATTTTTAAAGGGGAAAATGAGTTAAGGATTATCATATTTGATTTATTTTTATTCCTATTTATCCATTAAAATACCCTCTACTTTAATTAGCACTTTTTTTTTTCACTGTCCCTCAAACACAACTTTGTGGTCTTTGTGTCTTTGGTTATACCGTTTTTCTAAAATAATCTCTTTTTCTTTCTTAGCTGCTAAACCCAACCAGTCACTAACGTGGGGCTGTCAAGTCTAGGGTGGCCAGTTAAATTACAGGACATGCGGTTAAATTTGCATTTCATATAAACAAATGGTTTTAGTATAAATTTGTCCCAAATATCATATTTTGATTTGCTAAATCTAGCAACCCTACTCAAGTCTCATCTTCTCCAGCAATTCCCATGAGTTCCTATGCAAATGGTATTTTAGCTCACAAGTAGGTATGTGATCATGTTCCTTTGTGTTTTAAAGCCTGGATTCACCATAATTAAAATTTTATCTTTTATGCTTTCACCACAGCTATGTAGAACAAACCTGGCTTTAAATTGTGCATTAAAATTAAAAGTGAAGAGAAGAGTTGTGAAAGGAACCATGGAAATTATAGCTAACTCCATTCTCAAAGAAGAATTAAAATTAAATTTTATTTTCCATTGGTAAAATGCAGATTGCATAACTTAATATGCACATTGTTAATTCTGCCGCGTCTTGAAGTATTTAAAATGTTGATCGCTACCAAAATTATAGCTCATTTAGGAAGGCATAATGTTATGTAAATTGCCATTTAAACAGCAAGGCTAAATTCTTAAATGTATCAAAAGGTTCCAATTAAGGTCATTAAATGTGGCCAAGGTGAAAAAGCGGCCACAAATACAAATTTTACCCTTGCAAGGGCTTATCAGCAGGATACAGCTGCTATATCAGCCTGAAGAAAAATAAGCTTGTAGGACTGATTTAATTAGGATCAAATGACCTTCAAAATGTATCAGTTTTAGCAACCAACTTCCAATGCCTTTGGCCATTTAGTTGTTTTTTGTTGTTGTTTTTGGTTTGTTTTTTGTGACACACTTAGTTTTGTGTTTTACAGGGTTTGTTGGGAAGAACTGGACATCCTGGTCCTGTGGGAGCAAAGGGTGACAAGGTACAGAGGAAATGCCTCACTTACTCTCTGAATTGGGGCTTGGGGGATGGCAAGGTGAGACACTTACCAGATCCATAAAATCAAGCAAAGCCTGAAAGTAGGAATAATGTCAGGGAATAGCTATTCTGGTAGGGGGCTTGGAAAGACAGAGGTACAAAAATTGGTCTGCCTACAGGTTCCTAGGGAAAAGGATGAATAGAATACCGGTGTCATATAACAAAAGTCCAAGCTAGATTCAAGGTCTTGGACATCTAGTTCTGTGGAAAGATGGAGTGGAGGAAGCTTCCTGTCTGAGGTACAGATAAGATGGTTTGTATCAGGGAGTTCCAGCCACAGGTGCCAAGGCTTCAGACAGCTTGCTGAGAAAATCTGGAAGTTCTGTCTTTTAAGGGTCATAGGGGAAATTCACTAAGGAATTAGGATACTTCTTCCCTCAGGAGTCCAGTTGATTGGACAAATGTGTTGCTATGGTCTGAAGGGAAGACCAGCAATAGAGGAATTTCAGGCAGGAAGACCCCGGGGCTTCATAGGTTTACCCAGTTTAGGTCTAAATTGGTCCCACAGTGTGAGCTCAGCCGATAAGCAGAGTAAGACTAGGTATTCAGATTCGAGAAGTAAGAATCAAGAATCCACATAAGCAACTCAAGTAGCTTCTACCCTAAAATGACCAAAATGGGACATAATGGCATCAATGAGCAAAGGAATTCCCAAAAAAAAAAAAAAAATTGAAAGGAGCCGTGTGCTTATTTTAGATGGTCTCTGCACATTTTTTTCTGAGAGTATTCCCAAGAAGCTTGCCCAACTCCACTAGCCTTTTTTCTCTGTTCTCTATGGAAATTATTTAGTCAGAGATTTGTCTTTTGAAGTTAATGGGAATTCCACACTGAGATGAGCTTTGGGGCACAATCAAGGATGAAAATATGACTTTTAATTGTGCCAGGAAAAAGAGAGTCTCTTCAATAGACACATATTTTTCCTTGTTTGCTGTCCTCTCATAGTTCATGAGAACTATGACATAAATCTCTGAATGACACTGCCAGCAATCAGCAGAATATGACATGTCTTAGAGAGATAGCCACCATCAAAGCAGTTTGGAAAAAGATACAATATATTTGTTGTCACTCATTCTCAGGCAGATACACTGCAATAAAAACTTCAGTTTATTTTCGTTGATAAAGATACAAATAGTTTTTATGATACTTCCTTTTGTTACTGGAAAAAAAATACGGGGAGATTGGAATGAAATCCTTCATTAAATTCATGGAAATGGATTTAAATCCCTCAAAATTTGGGGGCCTTGTAAGTTGGAATCTTAATGTCTCTGGATTCTTTTTTAATTAACCATTTCTTGCCATTCCCCTGACATTAAGGGACTTAAAGATTTTATGAGGCTATTATCCTAAAAGAAAAGCACGTTCCAGGAAACACTGGTTAAAGGCACCAAAGGGACTATAATAGCTTTGCTTAGTATGGATCAATAAGCATTGTATGTTTTATAAAAATAAAAGTGAAATCCATTTTTCAAGTTTCAACTTGAATTCATTTTTCACAATTCCATTTTCAGGCTGCTTCTCCTGCAAGCAGAATGTCTGAGGCTGTTTAAACTGTATAGAACATTTCCCTTAAACAGTGTTGTACCACAGTCACTTCTGTTCAACGGGATGTACCTGACTTGGTTGCAAAGTTTAATAAAACCTTAGGGAGTGAAAAAATTTCTCCTTCTGCAGACACAACACAGGGTGTGATTTTTTCTATTTTGGTCAAATTATGTGGATGGCCCTCTGGTTCCCCAAAGAGGAAGGTGGGGGGGTTGAAGCTAAAAGTGAGGGGCTGACCCAGAAAGCCCAGTCCCGGAGCTCGCCCGTGCTTGCAGGAATGCCACTTTGCACCCCCATGTGGGCAGAGTTTCCTCGGCTGCACTTGAGCTCCAGAACAGGATCAGCCAGATTGTCTGGCTCCATCTAAAACTAAGCTTCGTCCCTGGGGACATCTCACCCAGTGGGAATCCGAATGGGTATGGAAAAGGCATTTACCTTTCCTGTGGTCTAGGAACATATTTTCCTAGGTGAAAGGGAAAGCCAAGCTGAATAAGACTCTGCAAGGCTGAAACAAAATCATATTGATTTTAGAATACAGCTGTCTGAGCAAGCACAATCTAGTTCATAAACTGGGTGTTGAAATGTGCAAACCATTGACTTTTGGTCTCTATATCCCGTGCAGGGCAGTGAGGGACCCCCTGGGAGACCTGGACCACCTGGACCACCTGTGAGTTACTTCAGTTTTAAAACTTAAATTCATGTGTCTGCTTGAGACTTCTATAACTCAGAGGTCAGACAACCTTTGGATGTTTCCAGGACAAAAGTTGTCTGATTTTTATGAATACCTACAAATGATAGCCAACGCAGCTTTGGGGGAGACCTAATTTTTCCCCTTTAGTGCAGCCCCAATATGCAGTGCTCAGATTTGCATACTATGGGCCTCCCTCCTCTGGACTCAGGAGACCCGAGTGGGTGCCCCAACTCTCCACGTCCTGCCTGGGGGACCCTGGGAAAGCCATGTAACCGCAGTGAGCCTCATTCACAGAAAAAACAGGGGCTTTAAAAAAGAGCTCCTTCCGGCAATGTGAGTTGGTACAGAATTTGGTGTTAGGCTATATGTGTTCATTACCATCCATGATATCTGAGATGCGGAGAAATTCTATTTACATAGCACCTAGTGAATAAAATGTACATGAGCCATCAGTGTTTTTATGCTTGCGTTTGAGACAGATGTGCACTTTGTCAGGGAGGCTGTGGAGAGGAGAGGTACCTCTCACTGTAGCAAGCCTGCCCTCGTGTGGGGCCACGCTCAAATCACAGCAGAGCTTTGGTCCAGGCCGAATGTTCTTTTCCAACCTGCTTCGTAGGAATACTTAAAGAAACCAAACTCACCTGAGAAAGAGCAGAATTAGTCTGTGGCTTTCTGAAGACAACAAAGATATATAATTAGACTGCATGCAGTCGCACATTTTACACACATAAACAAAGAGATTTGCACTCTGTTTCCCTAAACCTGTTCTTCATTTTGTTTACTTGCCTGTTCCCTTGACAAAGAAACAGGGCAGAAAGCATTTGGGGCTCAAATCCTAAAATGTACTCCCTCTCCAGTGGACACAACAAGCAACCCATAGCATGAGTTCACAAAAGGGACTTATATTTTACACTGGGTTAGAAAATCTTCCTCTTCCCCCTGAATTCTTCAAAAGTATTCATTCTTCAAAATAGATTACATAGTGTCTCTTTATGGGAAACCTCCTCTAGAAAACTCTGACAAAAATATTCTTCATCTCTCTAGGACTCAGCACACTAAAATATAGTAGACATTCACCAGTTGCCACATGAGAGAGTGAAAGAATAAAGAAATAAATGAATGGAGCATTTTTCCTCCCATCACTAGTGTTTTGAAGATGTATGCAAATCCCGTTCACTGAGCACCATTGGCCACCATCACCCAAAAACAGTGAAATGATGGCTTCTTCAGTTTTGCAACTGAAGTGTGGAAATCACAAAAAAAAGAAAAAAATGCAGATTATTGATTCTATGGGAACTTCTTAAAAGAAGGATAAAAGATCCCAGCTAAAATTTGTATCTGCAAATTTTTCCTGAATGCCAAAATGTATGATTCTTTAGACTGTCTAATTAGTTCTCTTTAAGTGTTAGTTACTCTGGGACTTTCCATTCACAGGCCAGTTTTATTAGAAAGTTTTATTCCCTGTTGTTCTAAAGAATATGTTTGTGTAGAAACATCCACACAGGGTTGTGAGTAACATCATTTCCCCTGTTTACTTTAATTTTCTATTTAGTATGAAGGGACTGTAGGAAAAATTACTTTTCAGTAGCCAAATTGCTCCCTATTGACATCTTCATCGGCACTACCGTGTTATAGCCTGCAGGTCAGCGGGCTATAAACAGTTAGCATAAATTGGCAATTCAGAAACTGAATTTTAATGAGCAAATAGTATTTTCCTCTGAATGCATTAGTGTCTCATCTGTAAAACCCGAACATTAATCACACCTCTTCTGAAAGTCTGTCTGGGCTCCAGGTGTAGCTCAAACTCCTGGTCATTTTTCCCCCTACGTTTGCTTTTGAAAAGCCCAAAATGGAAACATTGTTTTATTTTACTTGTAGTATCAAACTCACATTCTAAAATAAAGTAGGAGAAATATCATTTGGTAAAAAGATAAAAAGTAGAGAGACTATTAACTTAAAAAAGAGTAATTCTCTATCTCCTCTCTTCCTGAAGGGTGTACAATTCAATGAAGGAAATGGAATGAGCAGTTTATATAAAATCCAGGTATTTACTTTTGTAATTATGTGAAATTATTTTCCAGTGAGGGGTTGCTCTAAATGCTTCTCACCTTTTTCTTTTTTTTTTTTTTGAAGGGAGGTGTGAATGTTCCCAGTTTTCCGGGGCCCCCTGGCCCCCCTGTGAGTACAGTTTTTTATTACCAAGCATTCTTCAGCAGAACAGCCACAATAAATAAATAAATAAATAACTCCTAAGTTCACTGAAAAAATACATGATACAAATATAACTAAGATCTTATGCAATAGGAAATAAATGTAAATTTATTTAATATATAATATAATAGCAAATTATAATAAAATGGAAAAAATGTACCCAGCCAATTAAAAATAGCGTTCTGCATGGTGGTATCCATTTCTGCATTGTAAATCTAAGAACTAAATCAATGTCCAAGTAGTCACTGTCATGGGATTCCATCAAGTTATGTTTCATCATCTAATTCTTCAAATCCCAACTGTAGCAAAATAAAACTTGCAAATATTTTGTATGTGTCTTAAAGCAAATTGAATTAAAAATGCTTTAGATTCTATAATTTTGCTTCCCTCATTGTTTTAAAAATGACTTCCCATGTTTTTCCTGCAGGGCCCTAAAGGAGACCCTGGCCCAGTGGTATGTATATTCCCATGCTTTGCGTCATTTAGAAAATAAATCTTTATTGAAGTTTGAAAGAAGAGCATCAGACAAAGATGGCCTATTTTCTTAGCTGTTCATCAATTAACTAACATTGGAGGCAGGAGCCAAGCCACCAAAGAAATATCAGCGATGTGTTCATCTTTAAGATGCACTGGTCTTGCTGTCACTGCCATTGGCCTTTGTCTCTCTTATTAGTGTATTTTCAAAATCGCCCTGTGATAGAAGAGGACACATATGAAGTTCCTGATAAACGGAACACTTTCTTCTGATAGCACTATTTTGATGGTCAACTCAGTGTTAAGTACATTGTGGAAGAGAAATACTTACTGGAAAGAAATTCCTTAATATGTCTCCAGTCTCTCCCTACCCCCAAAAAGGGAAGGGACTGTTTTTTGCTTTGGCTGTCTTAGGCAGTTATTCAGTAAGAAATGTGGTGTGCTATCAACAGCCCGCTTATTAGGTGTAATGTATCAGGAGGTTAGCACTGAGCATGGAAAGAGATCATGTCCTGCAGCCCCCCAGAGAGGGACAATTGTTCTCAAGCACGGAGTGTCACTCTGCAGCTTCTGCCAAATTCATTAGATTCCTTTTATTCCTTGGCAATTCTTCTTGTCATGTCCTTGTCAAGCATATGTTCATGTTTCACTTGTATTAACCTTTTAACCTTGATTTATATAGTATGCTTGAAACTCAGATATACCTGAAACTGAACTAAAGTTTCAAATCATTTTCCATTGTCATGTGAAAAAAAATTAAGGCCCTTTCATTACAATAGATTTTGGTAAAACTAGATGAATAAATTTTAAAAGAGCAAAAGAAGAAGCCATAAAAAGTAATCTTTTCACATCTAACTATATTTTCAAAGGACATGCATTAAAGCGCATATTTTTTGTTATTGATCGGTATATAGTAAGAACCAATTTTTCCCCTGAAAGCATTATTTCAACTAGTTAGTGCCATTTTCTGAACCCCAATTATGTAACTTAGAAGTTTCCTTTGTTTTCTTATTCATGTTGCCCCCCTTTTATCTGTAACATTTTTTATGCTTTCACCAATCATATCCTTCATTCTAATTTTAATTTTCTTTCATCTTGTTGATAAAAATTTCCTCCTGGTCTTTCCCTCTCCTACTGATTCACAGCCCCTCTGAATCATGTAGAGGCCCCTAGACTTCTCACTGACTTTTTTGGAACATCCTTTCAAGTTTTTCATTAATAACTGCATATCAAGGTGATAACATTTTTTAAAATATTCTAATAAAGGATAAATCGTAATTCGCTCCGATTGGAAAATGGGTAGCAGACACATTTGAGTAGACTTTGAAGAAATTAGGCTTCAAATTCCTTAGCTACAACAAAGGATAAAGAATAAAAACTGATTAAAGGATATTCCTTGCTTTTAGAGATGTGCTTTAAGTGGGTGAAGTACAAAAGCAGAAATCTGGAATAATGAAGTTAAATACTGTGTAAACCCTCAGGTTTATCCTACATAAACCTTTGAAATTATTCTTTGGGGCCTGTCAGCACCACCATGCAACTCCCTTCATTTCATACCAGTTGCCCAGTACAGAGAAATACTACTTCCTACCAGAGAAATAAGCCAGGAATGATAGAATACTTGGTCACAGAGCAGAAAATGGAAAAGCCAATTTGAGGAGGCGGCAGGGGCAGGGGGGAAGTTGGGGAGAGATTTACTCTTCGGCATCCTTCATTTCCCATGACGCTGGGTCTGCACCACTGTTTCTAATCTTCTCAGTAAACGTTTGTAGACAAAAATTACCCTTAATTGAATTTATCTTCTGAGGTGCTCCATTTAATTCCTTTGATATTTAATTTATAAGAGGCTTCAATTAAATATTTAATTATTAACTACTTTCAAATAAATATTGATTGATGGGTGACCACCTTCCTCGGTCCTAGGGATTGTCGAGTATGTAAACAAAGAGAATTAAAGAGTTCATTTCCTTTGTCAACAATCCAGGACCTCTTTTACAGTGCTTTACGTAGAATAGAATCTGAACATCTTTTTTTTTTTTTGTCTGATTGGTAGGTTTATATATTAGTGTACATTTAAAAAGATTTCTAAGGCATGAAAAATATCAAGTCATCTGCTTGTTCATTAAGTGCTCTGTAATAAGGACAATATCATAAATAATAATGGAAGTTGGAGACTTGGTAATATTTTCAAGCAGATTAGAATTATGCATGCAAAAAAATATATTTACAGAGAACAAAAGCTCCCTTTTCCATTTGATTATGTTGAAAGCATCCAGTGTCTTAAGAAAATATTTGCAGTTAACATCAATTCATTAACAAGGAGGTATCAGACACCTACCTCCTTTATCTCTCCTGATTTAAAAACCTTAATGTTTGCCTGCTCAAAATTAGCAGCTTCCTTCACCCTAACTTTTCTAAATATATTTCTTGAGAGCCTACAGGTTCCAGCTGGCTTGGGACCATACACTAGAATATGTATAAGATTTTTTTAATGGAAATGCTTACTTATCTTCTGCCAGTGACCCGTGAGCTTGAGCAATAACTTTTAGAATCATTGGAGATGCCGCTTCTGGAGCCATCCCCTGAAGCATTCACAATTCATGGCCAACTGCAGAGAACACTGCAGGATGGTAAATTTTGCTATCAGACCTTCATCTTCATCTGCTCTTAAGGAGCTTAGTCTTATTCTCTGGTCATCTAGCAGCCCTGAGTACCTCACAAATTGGCAAACTTCATTAAAACCCATCTTTCCTTCTAACTTTTATTGAAATTGGAGTTATCGCTGACTAGAGGGATTCATTCTAATTAGATTCTTAATCAGAATAAAAACAACTAATCAGAAAATATATTCATACTTCTCCAGGGAGTTGCTTTATTCTAAAACTATTTTCAAATATCAAATGCAAGAATACAAATGCTTGAAAATAGAACATACCGACTACTTGCTAAATTGCCAATCAGGGTTTGGGGGTACATTTTTGGCAAAAAAAATCTTTGTTTTTGAAATCAAGGCTTAAAAAACCTCTTGGTCATTGCTCCTACGTTTCTTATGTTCGTATTTAACAGGGAGAACCTGGTGCAATGGGGCTGCCAGGACTAGAAGGATTTCCAGGTGTAAAGGTAAGTACAGGGGTTAAGAATGTGGTCACTGAGGGCGCCTGGGTGGCTCAGTTGGTTAAGCGACTGCCTTCAGCTCAGGTCATGATCCTGGAGTCGCGGGATCGAGTCCTACATCGGGCTTCCTGCTCAGCAGGGAGTCTGCTTCTCCCTCTGACCCTCTTCCCTCTTGTGCTCTCTATCTCTCATTCTCTCTCTCTCAGATAAAAAAAAAAATCTTAAAAAAAAAATGTGGTCACTGATTCAACATTCAAAAATGTTTACTGAGCACCTCCTACTGGACCAGAAACTGTTTTAGGTTTCAAGATAGCTAAGAGTACAAAACAGACAAAAATCTCTGCCTTCAAGGAACTTATTTTCTAGGAAGGGGATATAGAAACTACAAGAATAAACCTAAGTAATAATGTTGGTAAGTGCTATGAAAGAAAGAAAAAGTAGAGCAGGTTAAGAGGGCTCAGGAGTGCTAAAGGAGAGGGCTGTAATTTTAAATATGGGTCTGAGAAAGCAAGATCCGAGCAAAGACTTGAAAGAGTGAGACAGAGTTAGCCCAGTCCCCTCAACCTTGAAGGAAGAATGTCCCGGGCAACATAAGTAAGTTCTAGAGATCTAACATGTAGCATGGAAACAAGAGGTAATAATACTTTACTGTACACTTGAAAATCGCTAAGTGTCCTCACCACTACATTAATTAGCTTCAATGGGGTGATCATTTCACAGTATATGCATATATCAAGTCCTCAAGCTGTGTACCTTAAATATATACAATTTTTTGAAAGCATAAACATTAGGTCTAAATGCGCTGAGACATGAGCATTCCCGCTACACCAAAGAGACCAGGAGAATGAGGTGAAGGGAAGGGTGGTAGGTGAGGTCAGAGCGCTGGGGTGGAAGTGAGGTGTAGCCCTGTCAAAGCAGTCCTGCAAAGCAATACTACTCAAAATGTGGCCAGTGGAGGACCAGTGACAGTCTGCAAATTCTCTTATGGGTTCTGTGGCAAGGTAAGTATAGACTGAGAGTAAGTATTTAAAAACTTGCCTAGCAATTTAACTTCACCATGATATTCAAACGTGTGATCAGTAGATTCACCTTTGTTCAGGATGTATTAGAACATAAATGATAAACTGCTCCTGAAGGAGCATAAGTAGTTCGAGAAGCACTAATAATAAAGGGGCTTACTAGCCATTGTGAAGACTTTATCTTTCACTCTGAGTAAAATATGGAGCCAGTAGTTCATTTCTGAGTAGAAGGGTGATGAGGCCTACAGCTGGAGGGCAGGGGTGGAAGCCGGGACAGCTAGGATGATGTTGACTCAGACCGAAGTAGAAACGGTGGAGACAATGAGGAGTGGCTAGATTCTGGATATATTGGGAAGGTAGAACCAACAGGACTTTCTAATTGATTGGACATGGGTATGAGAGAATAAAGAGGAGTCAAGGACGACTCCAAGTTTTTTGACTTGAGCAACTGGCATGATGGGATAGTTGTCAACTGAAATGAGGAAAGCTATAGGCAGAGCCAGAGGTGGAGAGGGTGAGGCTGAGCAGTTTAACTTTGGACATGAGGTCAAATTTGGCAGCATCTATTAGATAGCACAGTGGAAGTACTGAGTAGGCAGAACAATATAAAGGCATGGAATTTGAAAAGAGTCTAACTGGAGATTTAAACTTGGTTGTCCCAAGCGTATAGATGCTGTCTTAAAGCCAGGAGACTTGATAAAATCACCAAGGGAAAGGCAGTAGATTTTATAAAAGAGAAGAGGACCGAGCACTGAGCGCTGAGGCCTCCAACATAAAGGGATCAGGAAGAAAAGGAGGAGTGAGCAGGGGAAACTGAGATGAAGTGACCAGGGAGGTAGGAGGAAAACTTGGTGTCCTGAAAGCCAAGTGAAGATAACGTGTCAAGGTGAAGAGAGTGATCACCTGTCTCAAATACCGTAAATAGGTCTAGTATGATGGGGACGGGGTCAAGTAGAATGGTCAAGTATTAATCATTGGATTCAGCAGTATAGAGGTTTAGCAATAACAGATTATTACTATTTCACTATTTTGGTAGGAGCAATTGTTGGATTTAAGAGAGAATAAGAAAAAAAGAATTAGAGATAGCAAATACAGTATAAACAATGGCCAAGGAGTTTTGCTGCAAAGGAAATCAGAGAAATGGGAAGGTGACTGCTGGAAGAAGTAGGGTGAGGTTTTATAAAATGGATTTTAGAAATGGACCATAGAAATATCAGAATAATTGTACGCTAAAGGAACGATCCAGTAGAATGGGGCAGGGTAGTGATGATATAGGAAGAAAGGGGAGAGTTGCTGGAATGACATCCTCAAATTGCTAACAGAAGATGGGAACTAGTACATAAATGGAGGTTTTGGCTTCAGAGAGGAGTCTGCATAGTTTATCTGTAGAAACAGGTGGAAAAACAGAGTATAGGGATACAGACACTGATACACCAAGAATAATTGGTTGGGGTCTATAGAAGTTCTTTTCTGATTGCTGAAATTTTCTCAGAGATGGAGGAAGAAGATCATCATCTGAGAGTGAGTTGGGGAGAAGAGGTTGGATATTTAAGGCAAAGGTCTTCTAAGAGAGAGGGAGAGTCCAGGGACCACAAAGTGTGATGACTAGGCAGCCCCAGGGCCCCCCTTAGGTTTATGGACATGAACTGAAGTGAGACGAGTCAGAGAGATCTTCTCCAGCATGTACACTCAGGTAAAGACATAGATTTAAACAAGGTTCCAATTTTGACAGGTGAGTACTAGAAGCAAGAATGGGCCAAGAGAGTCAATGGTGTACACAAGGGAGTGAGTATAAAAAGTGACCATGGAATTTAAACTAAATAAATAAGGGAGAGAGGCCATCTAGAAAGTTGAAGGGTGATGAAAGATTTGTTCAATGGATTAGAGGTCTTGGTGGCATCAGAAGTGTGAGAATCCAAGGTACTCAAGGGAGTGAGTTAAAACTATGGTGGCCCAATATTCAGAATGCATGAAATTTCAGTTATGGAGGGGATGGAGTTATTGGTACTGACAAGGTCTCAGGTATAACAATGGAAATAAAAGGCCAGATCATTAGAGGAGAATGGTTCAAAGAACTGCAAGACCTGAACTTTGGAAGGACCATATTGTCCAAGAGAAGCCTTCTTAATATTAACCTTTATCAGATATACAAGAGTTTCCACTGAATAAAAATTTCCAATATATTCATTTTGGGGGTAAAAATCCCATAATTTAAAAGGAACAGCGTGAAACTGACAAGAATTACCTATTTATACTGTTTGTCCACTATTCTATTAGTTGTTTTTCTATTTGCCTAAGGCTATGCTTTATAAAGATATTACTTCTATTTATATGTTACAGTTTATATCCTAGTTGGTCTGACCTTTCATTTTCATGTTTAATCTCGTTGTATATGTAAATATAACATTTATGTAGTCAAATAGCAAACTGTTTTTCTTTGTGTTTTCTTGTTTTGCTTTTATGCATTAAGTTCCTTTTATCTTATTCTCAACCAAAATCAGATAGTCACTTGGTATTTTCTTCTAATTCTTTTACACCTCATATTATTTTATTTTTTACATAATCTATATGGGATTTCCGTGGAGCATAATATAAAGAGAGGAATTAAACTTTTTTCAAAGAAATTACTCAATTATTAGCGCTATTTGTTGAATAATACATCCCTTTCTTTACTAAAATCCTATTATGGATGTTGGCCTATTTCTGAGTTTATATAGCATTTTTATATTGCATTGATATATTGCTTAATCTTATCCAATATTCCATTATTTTAATTGTTATAACTTTGTTGTATATTCAGATATTGGTATTGCTAATCTCCTTATTGTTCTTTTAATTTTTTTCTTTTATCTTCTCATTTATTCATTATCCCGAGTGGACTTTAATATCATCTGATCAAGTGGCAATTTAATAAGAATTGCTTTAAATTTATAAATTAGTTCGGGTAGCAATGACACCTTTACAACATTGTCTTGCCCTCCAGGAATAAAACATATCTCTCCATTTAATCAAGTCTTCTTTTATGTCCCTGAGTGAAGTTATGAAGTGTTTTAATGTAGGTTCTCCTCAACAAAAATTGCCATTTTATTATCCCATATATAACCTATAGTACTTTTAGCATCATCAGTTTTATCTAAAATACCACATTGCCTTTGGAAAAAGAGTTGCGTCACTCTACTGTTCGGAGCAATTCAAGGGACCTTCTGATGGCCTAATGAGGAGAACTACAAAATCCCTTGTTCTAAATATCTTTATTCTAACCCTACATCCAATACGACAAGTGTAGGAAAAGCTTTTTAGAAGACGTTCAATGTGCTCTCTTTTTTAAGTATTGGTAATGGATTACTTTTGGAATAAAAATACTGTATTGACCAATTTTAGCTGTATGTGTGGAGTCCTATTAAAAATAGGTCACAGAAATGATAACCTAATGCTTGTTTTCATTATTATTATTTTCTTTCGTTTTTGAAAAAAAAAGCTTTAACAAATTCAGTTAGCTATTCATTCTATTTTCTCATCTGTTGATATTGATAATGCTTATCAATACCAAAGAAGAACTTCACCAAATCCAAATAATCATTTGAGCATTAATTTTATAGGCAAAGGTTTTATAGATATCATTATAAGTAGCAATTTTTTTTTTTTAAATTCCAACAGGGGGATCGAGGCCCAGAAGGTCCCCCAGGAATAGCTGGAATATCGGTGAGTCCAGAGTATCTCACATTATTTTCACAAGGAAGCAATTCTATCTCCACAGTAAGGCTAGGGATCAAGAAGGGCTAGGGAGCACACAGTAGCTCCTATGCCATTAGGTACTAGAAACATCCAGTTAAAAAAAATAAAACCACCTTGTCCCTATCCATCCTCAAGAATTCTCCTTTTTTTAATTTTTTTTAATATTTTTATTTATTTATTTTAGAGGTGGGGGGGCAGAGAGAGAGAATCCCACTGACTGCGGAGCCAAGCATGGAGCCCAGTGTGGGGCTTGATCCCATGATCCTACAGTCATGACCTGAGCTGGAATCAAGAGTCCGACACTTCACTGACTGCACCACCCAGGCACCCCAAGACTGCTCCTTTCTTTATTTTCATCTTTTTCTTATTTTTTCTCTTTTTCTTTTTTTCCCCAACTCCCTTAAGGAAGGGAGGAGATGCCCAGTTAGTTACCTGTGCCAATATGTTAGTACAACAAGCCCAACTTTGAGAAGCTTGTTTTGTTTCTCTGCTCTTATCATATTTAAGGTTTCTTGGCCCCCAAAAGACAAAATTATTATCCTTAGGCATGTACTTCAAGTTCTTGATATTAAGCTGCAATCTGAGTTTTCCCTCGGCCTGGTGTTATTAACAGATCTTTACTGCTACTACTGTTTCCTCATAAACTAGCCCTTCCAGCCTCTCAATCATTTTTGTTGCTCTCCGGTGTCAAATGTTTTAATCTCATCAAGGTCTTTTCAAATGAATAGGAAGTGCTCCAGGAAAGGTTGAAATCACTTCTCTGAGCCCTAGGGATCATTCTGATCTTCATTCATGATGCTCTAATTAAAATTTTGTGGCCATGCTTTATGAATAAGAGCCCACTTATCCTTTTGTTCAGTGCCCCTGCAGGGTAGGCCCAGGGTAGGAAAGTCAGTGGAAACTATGTGCTTGAATCATAAGAACACAAGATAAGAAAGGGCCCTACCATCGCACTCACCACCACCCACTGACATCTACTGACACCCAACACCACCCAGAGCGTAAACCACCCATCACGCCCATCTTTAAAAGGCCAGTAGCCACTCTATTTTACTCCAGTTCTTAAGCCTACATCCCTAATCTGTAGAAAACCATCCTTTATAGAGGACAAATCCCCTTATTTAGCTGTTCTATCCCTTTCTCGTATATTCAAGCCTACCCAGAGATTTCTCCAGGGCTTGTTTCTCCTGCTTCTTTCCAGGATGACACATGGGTAGAGAGGAGGAGGTGTCTGTGAATGCTGGCAGTGAGGTGACGCCTGCAGTCGGCATGCTCTCCCCCAGGTTCTCCGGGCTCCCCCTGACCTTTGAAATTGCTGCTGCCTGCTACCGATGTCCCTGATCCCTTTGTCTCAGATCTCAAAGCCTAAGCACTCTCCCCCTTGTGTCCTATGCCAGGACCATGTGGGACATGAGACTTCGGGCTCTCGCACATCCCCCAACGCGGGCCCACAGGAGCTTCAGCAGTTCCTGCTCATACACACAGGCTCTGGGGAACCAGGGCTGCTCTGTCAGGCCTTGTGTCCGCCTAGCTTCAGCACTCAGCCGTGTCCGAACCTGTGAGGAGGGTTCCTCCCAGAGTTCTAGACAGCAAGAGGAGAAAAGGGCCGTTGCTTTTTCAGGTTCTCTCCAGGGGAACCTACTAGGGTTCTGCAGCCTCGGCCCTACAGGGATGCCTACATCCCTGAATTATTTGTTTTTCTATCCACGTTAGGTCTAAGGGATAGAAAGTGGTTCCTTCTTTGAGCTTGGTCTAGATACTTTGGCACTTCTCCCTCTGGGGTCTGATGGACCATTTTCCTGTCTCGTCCCTCCCAGGGGTCCCTCTACCCAGCAGTTCCCTGTTGTCAGTCCTCCAAGCCACAGTGTGTTGGAACAAATCAATCTTGTCCTCTCCCTTTTAACCAAACGTGGCTTTTCAAGTCGAACACAGAATTTCTTCAGGCTATCCTACTATCAACTTAGAAATCCTCTTAAGAAATGCAAAATCTGGGAAAGATGTCTTTGACTCCATGTGCCCTCCCACCCCCAAAATCAAGAGCTGCCAATCAAATAGGCATTTCCAGTAATGAAGATACGTTGGCTTCATATTTTCAAAAGGTATTATCGTGCCCTCCTGCCCCTCTGTTATACACAGATACGTACATTCAGAGAACTGCATTCTAGCCTGTACCTCGGAGTCTGCAGAGTCAAGTACATGTCCCCACAGACTCGGTCCCATTAGGAATGCCATTTTAGTATAGACAGCCACAGGCCTGGCAGCACATTAAATTCCCAGGCGGGGAGGGGAAGGACATGGCATCATGTCCGAATTTGGCTCCTAACATTTCTCCTTGCTTTGATTTCCCAGGGAAAACCTGGAGCCCCAGGGCCTCCGGGAGTCCCAGGAGAACCGGTGAGTTGCCAGCCACTTACTTAACCATGATACTTGCATGTGGTTCCAAAGCTTTCCTTAGCAACTAATATTTGTCTGTGGACATGCCTATAGGGTGACAGAGGGCCTGTTGGAGATATAGGTTTCCCTGGACCAGAAGGACCCTCTGGAAGGCCAGTAAGTACTTTTTACTATTTAAAATTTGCCAGTTTGAGAAATATTCCAAGCACTGCCTCTTTCCCTATCTCCTTGGAAAATCTGACGTCTGTAGTTTCTACAGAAGTAAGAGTAAGGGGCGCCTGGGTGGCTCAGTTGGTTCAGCGACTGCCTTCGGCTCAGGTCATGATCCTGGAGTCCCGGGATCGAGTCCCACATCGGGCTCCCTGCTGAGCAGGGAGTCTGCTTCTCCCTCTGACCCTCTTTCCTCGCGTGCTCTCTATCTCTCATTCTCTCTCCGTCAAATAAATAAATAAAATCTTAAAAACAAAAAAAAAAGAAGTAAGAGTAAGTTCCACAAATGGATCTTTGGGGGTATGGTTCTCTGAGTATCCTAGCTCTGTATGAGGTATCTTTATGTCTTAAACAATGATGAAGAAAGTGACATTGTTTGTTTGTTTGTTTTAAGTGTCAGGAGATTAGACTCATTATTTCTTAAGTCTGATGTTCTCCGAGTTAAAAAACAAAATGTCCTGTCACATTCAAAAATATAAAGAAACTGAAGACACAGATATGACTCCTGGGTGCTAAGCTGAAAACTATTTTCTCAGATTCCCTTCTTTATCTATGGACCTTGTTCTTATACTTTCATAAATCATGCTTCTAAACATAGCATCCCTTTGATTCCTAAAAGAGCTCTTGGATACTGACATATATTGCTGTAACATGTTAATAATCATTCTTACCAATTCAGTTCGGTTCAACATATATTCATCTAGTCTCTGCTCTTGCTAAGGATGTGCTGGGCCATGAGGGAGGGGACGTAAAGATGAATGACATAGAGCCCACTCTCAGGTTTACTCTTTATAGACGGTCACTGCTCCCTTTGCTTGTTTATTTGTGTGTGGAGAGGGAGTACTATTAGGACAGGGAGGATACTGAAGGTGAACAAGCAGCACAGAGTTCATGAGGCTGGTTCAGTACCTCTGGGAAACCTTCTGGGTCTGAGTGCTCCCTGGCCACCACCTCCTCAGAGAAGGCACCATAAAAATATAGGAAGCATATACAATTTAGAGTCAGAAAGATTTGGGTTTGAATTGTGACTCAAAGGGTTTTGTGAGTCACTTAAGTAACATGACATATGGTAAATATCTCCGGTGCCTGGTCCTGGGAGGCACTCAATAAATAGCTTCAATCCCTGCCTCCCCCGTCACCTCCTGTTACCAACTCCCTATCCTGGGCCCCTGACCATTTTCTAAATGCTTGCCCAGGGGATGATGCAAAAAGCAATTTGTTTGTTCAACAACTATTTCTTGAGCACCTACTAAAATGCTAGGCATTCTTCTGGGTGCCAGCAACTCATGGCTTTGCATTCTGGTATAGGGACACAGACAACAAACAAATAAATACACATATATGCACAATTTCAGGTAGAAAAAGCTCCAAGCAGGGTGACGCACCAGAGTAGCATTTAAATAGAGCAGTTGAAGAAAGCGTGCCATTTAAGCAGAAACCTGCATGAAGTGAGAGATCAAACCTGGAGTGGTTGTCAAAGGTATTGCTTCAAGGAAGAGAAATGGCCATAGAGGAGTGAGCCTGGGGTGTTAAAGAAACAGCAAAAAGCATGAGGTCAAGAACGCACTAAGCTAGACAAGAGTTGGAAAGATACTGAGAGAGAACTTGGCCGTGGCTGACCATGAGGAACTTCTAAACTATGGAGTTTGGATTTCATTTGAAGTATGATGGAAACCCATCGAAGCATTTGCAGTGGGGAAGGAAAATGACTGGTGTACATTTTAAAGTATCATTCTGACTATTATGTGGAGAGCAGACTGTAGGAAGCAGGATGGAAGCGGACAGAACAGTGTGGAAACATCACCATAATCCACATCAGAAACAATGATGGGGAGAACAGGGAGATCATGAGGAGTAAGGGAGTTTAGGATGTACATCGAAGGGAGAGTCAGCAAACTCACTGATGGACCAGATGTGGAGTGTGAGGGAGAGATAAGTCAAAGCTGTGGTGTGGGGTCTTTGCAGCCATGTCACAGTGGTGCTTTTGGTGAGATGGGAGAGACTGGAGATGGGTAGGTGTGGGAGGGAAAACCAAGAATTCTCTGTGGTGGACACATTCAACTTCAAGCACTAGTAGACATCCAAGTGGAAGTGTCAAGTAAGTGGTAGATGATGCATCTTGAATTAATGGAGAGGTCAGGACTGGAGAGACTGATTTGGGTATTTAAACCTGAGCCTGGATGAAATGGAGTCACTGCGGATTGGGAGGGGAGAGAGCACTTCAAGTTTTAGGAAAAGGACCTGGCAAAAAGTCTGAGAAGGTACAGCAGTGAGATATGAAGCAAACCAGGTAAATGAATTTTCCTGGATGTCGAGGGAACTAAGTGTTTTAAGACAGAGAAATGATGAATCTAGATAGGTCATGTGAGAGCTGACAGTTCTCCTCTGGGTTTAGAAATGTGGTGGTCCCTGGTGGGAGAGGTTATAGCACGGTTGTATCTTGATAAGAATGATCCAGTCAAGAGGGGAAGTTTTGATGATGCCATGCGAGTGGAGATAACTTTGAGTAGGGGGAGAAGACTGGTATTCCCCTCAAAAGTGGAAATCGGTTTTCACAAGGAACAGGGGCAGCTCATCCTTCTTACCAGGAGGAAGGAGGCAGGCAGAAGTTGGCGTACAAATGCGTGTAGGTGGTGGATCCCATGGAGGGAAGGAAGGTGAGGTGGCTCTGTCCTATTTATATTCTCTGTGGAAGAAGAATCAAGGTCATCGGCTGGGTGTAAGGAATCAGGTGGTGATGCTGGGGACCTGAAGACAGAGGAAACTCTGTGAGAGAGTACTTTGGAAGAGAAGGAAAGGGAGTGGAATCCAGAAATCCAGGATAGCCTGGTTATACAGAGGGGCTACTTGCCATCTGCCTCCATACATTTAGGTCGGAACAAGTGAGCAAGGGTATGTGTTTTTCTTCAACCACAGCCAGCCACTCAGATGCAGACATGTGGTAGACAGAAAGCCGGTTATACCCAGGGATGGAGCTCTTCCAGATAAGTGAGATGGGGGGAGGGGGGAAACAAATCCATTCAGGTTATTCTAAAAATCTCTAAAAGCAGTACTTGTCTAGGGAAAGCAAGTTAATAACACCTTTATATACATGATAGTCTGATGAATTACAAAAGAAAAAAAAGACTGTACAGTTATTTCTTTTCTTACATTGTTACCAAAAGCATGAATTACATTTTAACACTAGATTTATCTTCCTTTATTCAAGGGTTTTTTTTTTCTCCCACATCCTCTCTTTAATCAGCTTTATCTTTGTTGCTTGTGTTTCTGGATGTAATAAATTCTTTGAACCATACACTGCAGGTAACGTGTCCTTAGTTCAAGTAGTCTAGATAATTCCCAGGGTGTTTCAGAGAGGCTGGGGGGACTTTGGTTGGGTTATCAGCTGTGACGGGTTTTAGTGTAATTTACAGCAGTGAAAACATGTGCTTGTCTGCAGTTCCAGCCTCATAGAATCCATCCCAGCACAATAAAACCCCTAGGCTTTTCAGAGGAGCATGTCCATGCAATTGCCTGCTGGCTAAGAAATCATTTTCCTCACCTTGATCTCTCTCTTCAAACCAAATCTCAAAATCACATCTGCTATTGGACTCTAGGTATTTGATTTGACCCCAAGTGCTTTTCCTTCTCACATCTCCTGGCCAAAAGTTGTCTCTGTCTTATAAATCTCTGAGCGGGGGGCTTTATTTCCACCTCCAGAACTGCCTTGTAGTTTGGGAAACTTCCAGGTTAGTAATAAAAAACCACTACTTAATGCTCTCAAAAACCATGATTACAGATTTCTCACTTTTCTTTCATATCCTCCCACTGAAAAATAACAAATTGTTCTCTCGCTGACAGTTTATTTCAGAGTAGGATCATGTTCTGGCCATGTTATGAAATTTCCCCAGCAGCAACTGAGACCATTTACTGAGAATGACTCTCTGTGCTGGAAAATTGTTAGAGGGTAACGATAAACACCACACACCAGCCACCCAGCACCATGGGGCACCTTATTTTTCAGATTGTACCAAACAGAATAAGTAAGGAAAATAACCCCGTTGACTATTTACAGTGAGCGAGGCATTTTGTGTTACTTCACCAAATACTTAGTATTAAAGTCACGATTTTATTCTCACTTTATAAGGAAAGAAGCTGATGCTATTAAGGTTCAGTAAATTGCCTGAAGTAAATGGAACTTGTCAGTGACAGAGTCAGAATTTGAACTTAGGGCCATCTATTCTATCAACTTTGTTTTCTGTTTCACCACACTGCCACACCAAAATAGCAGAAATATGATGATTAAGTTCTCGAAACTTTACCCTTTTATTGTGTTTAACTATGTCTACTGATGAAGAATTAGAAATATTGATCATCTTTTGTCTTTATAGGGAATAAATGGAAAAGATGGATTACCAGGTGCTCAGGTATGGAAAATACCACTTCAAATAAATATTCTGATGTAAAACCTCATCCGCAGTACCTGTCAGAATACTTGACTGAGCAGGCTGGGGAAAAATCTTGGCAAGCAGTGATTTTTCAGTGTTGACATTTGTTTTTCAGGGTATCATGGGTAAACCTGGAGATAGAGGCCCCAAAGGAGAACGTGTATGTATATTACTGTTCTGATCATGATTTAAGCCTGTCTGCTGCAACTGCCTCATCCTTTGAGTTACACCATGGGCGTGTGGATGCCTGTAAATCTCCCAATATGACACGTCTAGGGTGTATGTGATCCAAGATCTCTTCTAAGCATAAAATAGGCCAATTAAAGGACCCAGAAACAGGCCATACGGCAGGTACACCTACAACAATGACCTTTATTTAGAACTAAGTCTAGTGTGCTATTCCAGTTTGGAAAGCTTCGATCCTCCTGTCTCAGACACATATTCCTATTATAGCAATCACCAATTTTCTTGTTCCTTAGAGTAGGGTTTCTCCACCTCAGCACTGTTGATGTTTGGAGGCAGACAGCTCTTTGCTCTAAGTGTCCGACTGTGCACTGCAGGATGTTTCGCAGCATCCCTGGCCTCTAGCCACCAGAGGCAGTGCCACCAGCTCCCCTCCAGTTGTGACAACCAAAAATGTCTCCAGACATCACCAAATGCCTTCCGGGGACCAGAGTGGCCCTCATGGAAAAGCCCTGACCTCGTGGAATACGAAGTCGAGTAAGGGGGCTGGTGTGAGGAGGTAGAGCAGTGGAAAGTGGAACCGAACAGAGTGATGAGTCATGCCAATTCAGTTATATCCTTTTATTATAATTGGTTTGTTTGTTGATGTTGTTCCAACTTCCCATTATTTTCTTTTCACTGCAAAGATTACTCAAGCACTGTTATTCAGTAGTTTTCTCGTGAGGGCTGCTAGTGTGTTGCATGTGTGTGTTTGTGTACTGGTATCCAGTTTACTCGTTTTTACTTATTACACAAATAATTCATGATAACTGAAGGACTTGTGAAAACAGAGATAATACAAATAAAAAAGAGATAAGGATTCTTGATTTTGGACAAGCTCTATTTTGGATATATTTCTATTTCTCTTTTACACATAATATACATATATACTTAATGTATCAATACAAATGAATATATGCTCCTCCAAAAATGTGTTCAGACTGTTTTGTAAATGACTTTCTTCACCTAACAATATATAATGACCATCTTGCCATATCAGTAAATATAGATCAGTAGGTGACTTTTAGTGGCTATATGTTATTCCACTGTTTGGATATACCTTACTTCACTTTCCTAGTCTCCTTTTTCTGGATATTTAGGTTCTTTCCAGTTTTCATAATAATAAATATCACTGTAATGAACATCCTTGTGCCTATATTGTAAAACAATTTTAGTATGCTAAAGACTGCGATTATTTTGCACATGGTCACAGTATTGATCAGCATGTGTTAGTACTTCTTTTCTTAATTTTTTTTAATTTGACCCATCCCAGATATTTCCCCAAATATGAGTTGATATACTCGTATGCAGATACATTTGTATAACTAAGACAGTAGCATTGAAATTAGGTCCATCTGCTTTTTCTTCTTTCTACATGGCTTCTTTCTACATCTCTTCATTCCATGATCAAATAGATCCCTGTAATTGTTCATTTGTTTTCATTACTTTTTTTAAATCAGAAGAAATGGAGTTTGGCCTTTTGCACAATAGTCACAAATAAAAGAATAGCACAGTGAAATACAGGGCAGCCTCAATGCAGCCTCCCATCATATTTGGTGTGATCATCACCTCCTGGCATTGTAGAACTGAGTACTTGGAATATCTGTAACCGAAACACTCTATGGTACATATATACACCTCTCTCCTGACCCCCCGCCGCATCCTCTAATGCACGAACACATGCAGTACTAGATACCTTGCTGGATAAAAGTCAGCATTAAATAAACTTCTTATTACAGTCAAGCCACCTAATACTATCTTATACCTAATTTACTATGGCAACTTACTCAGTGAATTCTCTCATAGTTCATTTATGTTATTAAGTATATGATCTCAGTGATGACCGTCCACCCCAAGCACCTGCTCTGAACTTTTTCAAAGGCTCTCCTTTCTCATCTTCCTGAGTTGTACATCTTTGGGACACAGCATGTATGCACATGCGCACACACACACACACTCATACACTGTAAAACACGAATAAAGGAACCAACCCACAGAATCTAATAAAGATTCTGATAAAGGTAAAAGAAGAAAAGCACATGATTTGGGAAGGATTTTGAGCGTACTGAAGTTTTTACTTAGTGTAAAATCTTGGTGACCATCTTCATTCAAGTGCAAAACCCTCTTGGGCATCTTCCTTTATTATTGCCAAGGAGACTCAGGCCTGAAATGAGACCTGCTGTTGACTTTCAAAAGTGTCATCATTCTAAACTGGCAATCAAGTACAACTAACGTCACTAGCTTTCTATGGAATGCCTTCAACATGCCAGCCATTGTTCTAAGCACTTGACTTGACTCACTCATTTCTCAGCCTCACCCTTCTTAGTGGGTACTATTAATATCTCCACTTTATGAGACAGGAAACCAGAGCACAGAGGGCTTAATTCCCTTACCTGAGGTCCCACAGCTAGTAGGTGCCACTATGAATCCAGAACCTTTGCTTTTAACCACAGCCTATGTGTTCTAGAAGAGATCATTATTATTAACCTTTTCCTTAACAGGGTGACCAGGGAATTCCAGGGGACAGAGGCCCACAAGGTGAACAGGGGAAACCAGGCCTTCCAGGCATGAAGGGAGTCATAGGTCCTGTGGGGCCACCCGGAAGCAAGGGTTCCACGGGATCCCCCGGGCACCAAGGCCCTCCAGGCAATCCAGGCATCCCAGGCACTCCGGTGAGTGGTGCCAAGAGCTCCGATAGCTCCTGGCTAGTATTGACCACATATCCCTCTTACAGTGAAAGCAATCATAATCCTTTTAAAAGAAATAAAATGAACCTAAACTGCGCTCCACAAGGGTAGTAATAGCTGCCATTTATTTCAAGTTATGTACCAGATCCTCTGCTAAGTCCTTACTATACATTACTTCAGTAGATCCTCCCAACTAGGAGGATTGGTGTCCTGTAGGCCCCACTTTACAAATACAAAAACTGAGAGTTGACTTGTTCCGGGTCACAGTTATTTCGTGGGTTAGACTCACATCTGATGGAGTCCAAAGCCAGGCTCTTGAATACCATCTATAATGTCTCCCTACACTACACAAATGACATATGTCTGTTTTATATTAAAACTCTATTTGTTGAATATGAGAACAACACAGCTGCCTTGAGTGGTACTTTGAGGTGGAAAACAGACCAAGAAGGAGTGTTTGGTTAAGGAAGCCCGTATTATTATTAATATCCTCAGGAGGGGTGGCGGATGGCCATTCACAGAGGAACTTAATCAGAAAATACCCTTGTTAGGGAGAAAGGAGGATCCTGGAGTGGGGCGGGCGGGGCAGGGAGTGAAGGACACACTGTCCTCAGATAATCAGCCAATACCAGATGGAAGCCAAATTGGGCATTCCCACAATATTGAGATTCTTTATTTTTACCCACTCTCCCTAAGCTCTACTTGAATAAAGCCTGTATAATGAGCTCGCAGTGCTGTGTCAGTAATTGGTATTAGATGCATTAACTCAAGTTCATATGTCCCATATACCATGAAAATAAAATGTTGAGAGCATTTTTTGAACTATTCTGTCCTACAGAAATCATCATTTTATGAGCCCATCACATTGTCTTTAATGTTACACATATACCCCTGGATAATAATCCTAAAAAAAAAAAAAAAAAAGAAGAGTAATAAAATACTTTGAAATCCTAACGATCATGAAAAATAATAGCTCTCTTTTAAAAAATATCAAGGTACCATAGTAAAATATTATTATTATAAATGTTAGATTCTTTACCAAATTCATGTAGGTTCATTTGTCGAGGGGTTAAAAATTCAACTGACATCATTTACCTACTTCCCTTTCTCATGTCCCATAGCGTTTTCCATTAAAAAAAGAAAATTGCTTAATACAAATATGCTTACAAAGTGTAAATTACAGAAAAAACTATACCATAAAAATGACTAAAACTTGGTAGTTTTATCCCATGAATAAAACAATTTTAAAGAATAATCTGGCATACTTGGAGTTCTCTTCCTTTAAAGAAGTATAGTATCGGGGCACTTGGGTGGCCCAGTCATTAAGCGTCTGCCTTCAGCTCAGGTCATGATCTCAGGGTCCTGGGATCGAGCCCCGCATCGGGCTCTCTCCTCCACGGGAAGCCTGCTTCTCCCTCTCCCAATCCCCCTGCTTGTGTTCCCTCTCTTGCTGTGTCTCTCTCTGTCAAAAAATAAATAAAAAAAAAAAAATGAAGCGTAGTATCAGTTAGATATTGACTTTACCAGTGCCCAGGGATTGGTTAGAAGTGAAACTGTTCCTGGGATATTAATGTCATGATAACACTGTTCAAGTTCTGTAACTTCAGAAAATGAAGTAATAGGAAATGCCTTTCCTAATCATATGAAGCCATGTCTCTCCATTTAATAAGAAATATGTTCGAATCACTGGTTATGATTCCAGCCCACAGCTTTTAAAGCAATTATGCACTTCAAGTTCTTCCCAGCATTTGATCAAAATAAAGATATTTATTGCCTAATATAGTCAATTGCCAAGAGCATTTTGTTTGATAAATGTATCTCCACAGAAGTTTCAAGTATGTACACCAACCCAGGATTTCAATTCTTTATTCATTTGTGCCATGCTCTACTTTAACAGACCTTTTTCTCCCTTCTTTAGGCTGATGCAGTTTCATTTGAAGAAATAAAGAAGTATATTAATCAAGAGGTTCTAAGGATTTTTGAAGGTTAGATCTACTTAATAAACATTTCTGAATTTTCACCAGTTACTACCTCCCATCAGCTGTAGGGGATCCCTTCAGCACTCTCTCCAAAGCTGGCCATGCAACAACAATGTTAAGATGCAACCTCTTTTATGAGGGGGTTGAGACATCTCTGTCTTACTGTAGGGGAGGTGGACTGACCCTCATAACTTTGTGCCATCTCTGAATTTTATAACCATGTCATCATTCTAATTATAGGTAGAAATGTTGAAGGAAAGAGTCAAGAGTCAAGGATTAGGCCTTTCTTAATGCCATTGCATTCCTCCTGTTCACTTGTAAATTCTATTAATCTGTTGTTTCAGTGACCTCTGAATCCATATAGTTTTCTAAAATCCACTCTACATTTTTTTTATCTGTTCCCAAGATACCACATGATTTTGTCAAATGACTTGCTAAAATCAAGATCACTCCCCTCAACTGTGAGCTTAATAAAGTGGGGAATTTTTGTCTTTAAAAAATGAATCCTCATTGGCTCTCCTGGTTCCTGCTTCTTTTGCACAGCATCCTTTCTTTGCCAAGCTAAATATATATTACTGAATTTTGCAAGGAATAAGATTACAAAATGCCCCAAGTTCACCGGAAGTCTTCCTACTGCAAACATGGAATTAGCTACTCTCCTAGAAGCTCTGATTATTTTAAGCAGTAATTAGTATTAGAGACCAAAATCTCAGTGCTTGAGTATACATTATCTTATTTCACATGAGCACTAGAGATAGAGCAGAGTTAACACAGGAACTTTGGCTGCTTCAATGACAAAATAGAAAAAAAAATGGGTTTTTTTAAAGGTAATGAATTCATGCTGTTGGTTTCAATTTACATTGATCTCTACTAAGTGTCTTTACCATGCTCTGGCATGATAGGTCATTAATACAATTGTCTACTGTGTTTTTATTTCAAGCTACCAGTTTTCTCTTTATAATTTTAATGTTGCCCTTCAATCTAGAAATCTTTTTTACTATCTTTTTTTTTATCTTTGAATCAAGCATCATGGGAAAGAGCCTCCAGACTTTGCAATCCAAACATACCCTCTCAACAAGCACTCCTCAAGCATCACCTGCCTGAAAAAGAAAAAGGCATCTTGAGTGCTCCAGAAAAACACTGAAAAATATAGAGGCATAGACAGGTCCAGCTAATTTGCAGGACTCAACGCAGAGTGAAAATGGAGGTGCCCTTATTCAAAAATGATTAAGAATTATAAGACAGCCATAGTTAAACACTATACCCAGCATAGGGCCCTTTTGAGCAAGGGACTCTGTGTGACTGCACAGGTGGGTTGTCCTTAAAGCCTGCCTGGGCACAGGACCTTTAGGACCTCAGAAAGCATCCACATGTTTAGTAGACACAATCATGGAAGGGAAAATACCAGCAAATATATTTCTGAATTGTGATCTAAAATTCTCCTTTAACTCTTAATGTCCATGGGCTCTAGTGTCAACTGTCTTTTATCTCAGGCAGCTTTAGTGCGGAATTTCAATTCCTTAAACGACTTTAGATTTAGTCTGAGATGCGGGAAGTGTTCATTTTGCCCAGTGGACCCTGGATGAAGGCATGGCCTCTGGTGGCCTCCCCACTGCGTTCAGCAGAGGAGACGTGCCACTTGCACCCACAGAAACCTTCCTGCTGCCCACTTACAGGCCGTTGTGGGGTTATTCCTGTGAAGGACTATGCCTTCTGAGGAGAGAAACCAGGGGAATTGGATCACTCTCCACCTGTCTTGGGGCAGGCTCTTGTGGCTTGCACTTTCTTCTAAGTCTGTGAACTCCCCCTCTGCTGTCCTGTCCCAGCTTCCTCTCCCAGTCACTCCGTGCCTGCCAGGAAGCGAAGGGTGCAGATGCTCCCCCAAGCCTCCTCTAGCTCCCCACCCACCCTGCATCTCCCCCAACCACCTTCCCCAGTCTCTTCCAGCCTGGTGAGGTCCCTCAAAAGCCACATGTCTTGTCTCAAAACCATATTCTAAAGTGGCCCACAAACAAATTTTTTGGGAGACTTGTAGACTCTGAGACTCTGACCATGATACCCCCTCTCCTTTCATCTTTGTCGGTACCAGTCCAGCAACACTTTCTCCCAAACAAAAAAAACCCAAGATTTGGTTATTTAGCACTTGAGTTAATTTGTCCCAAGATTATTCCAATTCAGTCCATTTAACTTTCCAATTAGAAGTCACTTTTCCAAAAAAAAAAAGAAAGAAGTCACTTTTCCAAGGCTTCTGAATACCATTTACAAAAAGGAATAAGGAAAAACTCCATTTCCACAAGTCCTAGAGCTCCAAGGTCACATTTCTCCCTCTCAGAAAGCTTTCTCTATAAAGGCAAAGACTAATTTTCACAGGACAGTGGGCTCAGTGGCAGCTAATGTTTGTCTTGACCCCATTCATCCCTGCACAGCTACAGCCTCAGGGGCAACTCTCTCTGCCCAGCAAGTCATGGACTATCTATGGGGGCTCAAGGGAGTGCTGGAGAGATCCCGCTCTCCCACTTTACCATCCTTTCACTGGAGGTCCAGCTGGAACCTATAGTGAAGCCTAGACCAAAACCCCAAACTTGGGCTCTCTGGCTCTCTTCAGGGATTCCCAGGTGGCCCCTTCCCACAGATCTCACACTTTGGGCTCTGTCCCAGGCCACGAAGCCCTCCTTCGGCATCCTGATGCCCCCATCTCAAACCTACGCATGGTGGAAGAAGGTGTTTTCCTATCAACCCCAAGTCTGGGTTTCTGCTGGATCACAATGGACAAATATGTGCCCAGTCCAAAGTTAAATTAAATTCCCTATTTGATTAGCCAACAGATCAAATCCTTTTGCAAATAAGGTGACTGCACAGAGTGGGGCAAAATGCTGGGTGTCTGAGCTTAGCCTCTTTTGGCTTTGTGAGGGCTTTGCAGCTACCCTACAAACTAGAATCTTGCTAGATCTGAGAAGCTTAATTCTTGCTATGGCACCACCCTATTATACTTGGAGATTTCCATCAACACGCAGGAAGAATTTGCCAACCTGTGCAGAAATGTGGATACATATCCTGCTTTCTTGGTTCTTGAGACAAACTTGGAACCAACTGCAACTTTGGGAAGACAGGAAAATAAGGGCTCTGTGTCCCTGAGCAGTATTTCTGCTTCCAGAGCCAATGTCCAGGAAAGCCCCTTTATCTATGCTTTCTCCATTTTCCATACATATATTTCATATATATGTGAATATTTATCTTGTTCTCTTGTTTCAAGTGTAACACCTCTCTCGCATCTCAACAACTAAGCTACTAATTTACATATGTGTATGTATATTCATCATATATATACACCTCATCTGATAAGATACACATCTTGAAGATGTACATATACCTTTTAAATACTTTGCACAGCATAGCCTCTATTTCTTTCAATTTGCCTCTTTCCTTTTCTTTGTTTGGGTCTGTCGTTCAGCTTATAGGATTTCCTTTGTGCCAGTAATCCTTGGATGTCTGTTCATACAAAAGAGTAAGTTCTAAAAACCTAATCGAAAGTTATGAGTGAATGGTGGGACTCACGCACCATGAGCTTCACTGTAGGGTAGTCTAACTGGGTTTTCTAATTGAGAGGACTTCAATTTCAGTGACTTTAAGTCCTTCCTCTTATTCTGGCCAGATTCCCCAGAGGAAACACTTCCATTTCCTGCCTGGCTGCCAGCATTTGGAGAGCAAAGTAGGAGAATAGGACTGAAAACAAGAAGAATAAATGTGCGCTCATTTATTCTTCTTGTTTTCAGTTAGGGAAGCCCAAGACTCAGTGGGATCTGAAGGCCCCCCCAGGGCACACGTGATCTATTTACCTTTTTTTTTGCTAGGTTTGGGGAGGAACAACTACCTAGCTGTATAGAGAAAGAAATTTCTAAGACTACTTCTTAAACAGGCTTTCAGCTAATCCTTTTGATTTTTCTTCCCCTCCTTTACCACACTTCCAGAAGTAACATGCATTGCCAATTCCTGAGACTTTTAAGGATTCTGTGGTGTAGAACAGGTTGTTTGTCAGTTTCTAGTATAAAGATTTGGTTTTCTAGAGTCTGCTAAGTCATCTGTCTTTGGTTCTCAGCTTCCAAAATTTTGTCGTGTTGTCTTCTTTCATATTCTCCCCATTCTTATGCTTTTATGCCTTTAAAAAAATATCTTACTATTGCTTTAAAGGGATTCGGGTGCATGTGTTTAATCCACAGTCTTTACCCAAGGTAACATTTCAAAGCAGCATGCTTACAATGGTGGTAAAGGATTAGGTCAGAAATACAATATAGCAGTAACAGCCTTTGGGTTATGATGAACCACAAAATGAATATGAATCCAGCAAATGATACTGTGGAACTCACAGTTAAAATGAAACTAGAGAGTAATTATTTGAATATATGAAAGGAAATTACTCTCCTAATATTTTCTGCCCCTTAGGAGAGAACTGTATCTAATTTTGGTTTCCCTGTTTCAGACATATTATGGAAAAGCCCTGGAATAGTGAAGCCAAAAAGTGATTTACAAAACAGATGACCAAACCTATGAGTAAAAGTTATTTAACCTGAAGTCTAAGAGATAACAATAGTATCAAGTAGACGACTGATTTCCCAAGGGAAATACTCAATGACTGCTTTCTGTTGCCATCATAGAGTAACAAAAGAAAGTAAGTTGAAGCTGTACCAAGAAAATGGGCAATTTAACATTTGAATGGGCGTTAGGAGAAAACAATGAGTTTCCTTATTTGGAAATATTTACAAATTCTGTCTGTGAAATAGAAGGTAGACCTGGGCCCAATGACGTCTGAATGCCCCTTCATTCTCCATATAATATAGTTTATCAACACATTAATATTAATGTCTGCATTACGTTGATGAGCCCATTCTCTAAGGAAGGCAAGCCATTGGTCTTATTTGTTAGAGTGACTGTTCTAGGTTTGCATTGGCAGATAGAATATGTGTGTTTGGTTTATGTAAGCTCCTATCTGAACTCTTCAATTTCCTGCCTCATTAGAAAGCATAGTCAAAACAGTTTAACTGACCAAAGATCCCTGAAAACAGAGAAAAGGCAATTAAGAATACAGGTCTTTACAATTTATTTAGAGGCTCAAAAACATATTATTTTAAATTATAGAGCATTAGAGTAAGGTTCAGAAGAAGTAATTATCCTTTTGCTAAATGAGTATTTCTGAGTATATCTTGAAGCTAGATAATTTATAGCTAGAAGTAATTATCTAAAAGAATTCTGTTTTACTAAAAATATTAAAAACCACCTAAAGCAAATACTTATAAATTCAATTTGTACATTAAAGAGGAAAAAATTAGTACTGTGAATATTTGTGTTTAGACACTGAAGGTATTCAAAGAGATATATCTCAAATTAATAAAAATTATACTGGGGCTCCTGCGTGGCTCAGCATCCAACTCTTGGTTTCAACTCAGGCTGTGATCTCATGGGTCATGAGATCGAGCCCTGACTGGGGCTCTGCGCTCAGTGGGGAGTTTGCTTGGAGATTCTCTCTCTCCCTCTCCCTCTGCTCCCCTCCCCCCTTGCGCAGGCGCTCTCGCGCGTGCTTTCTCCCAAATAAATTAATTAATTTAAAAAAAGAGAAAAATTGTAATGAAATATATATCTCTTTTAAGTGCAAAACAAATAATATGCAGAGTTTTGAATTGAATTTCATATTTGCTTGTAAAACACCCAGTATACAATTTCATATAATAAAGAGATATCTACATTCAATAAAATGATTTGCAAAACTATAACTATATACTAATTACAAACTTGTTTTATCTATTTAGTTATTGGAAACAAATGTATGAACATCAACCAAACTTATCCCAGGTGGATAGTCAGGTAATAAGAAGTTTTGTCTGAAGACCTATAATTTAATGTCACTCAGGGATGATTCGTCAGATCCTCATTGGTCTTCTTCCATCCCTGTCAATCAGTCTGCATCCAGAGATTCACATCCTGTGAATGTTGTGATGCTTCCATTCTGCTTGCTTTATAATTTGAGAAAAGGAGTGTACAGTGATTGCTCCTTTGATAATTATACCTAATAGTCCATGTTTGTTAGGACTTTTCCCTTAATAATTCTATTTGAAAATAAATTTGTTTTACTTTCTCAAGCAGCACAAGGTCCTACATTTTTTAAACAAAATTTTTTATCGAAAGCCTATTGAAAAATAGGTTTTACTAGGGGATAATTTGCTCTTTATAAGAAGTTTGTAAAACACACATATCTGCTTAAATGAAATGTGCCCTTACAGTTCAGCTGAATGAGCTAAACTGAGTAAAGAGGCTAGAGAAAATTGGAGTAACTCTTCACAAGGTCTTTATGATTTGGCCTTTGTTTTTTTCTAATTGGCAGCTATAGTTTCCAGAATGTTGCTGTCATTTGGTTTTACCTACAAAGTAAACACTAATTTAAAATTCAGTAAGAAAATTTTCTGGAAGATTTGTCTGCACCAAACCCATGCTGAATTCTTTACATTAAAGATTCATTTTTTTCTTACACATTGGATGTATCCTTGAAAAATTGGGTGTAAATTAGTTTTACAAATGAAATAATTTGAATTTGCTTTTTGAAGAAAATATGTGAAAAGAAAAAAAAAAGGGACACCTGAGTGGCTCAGTTGGTTAAGGGTCTGCCTTGGGCTCAGATCATGATCCCCGGGTCCTGGGATCGAGTCCAGCATTGGGCTCCTTGCTCAGTGGGAGCCTGCTTCACCCTCTGCCTGCCGCTCCCCCTGCTGGTGTTCCCTCTCTCGCTGTCTCTCTCTCTCTCTCTCTCTGACAAATAAATAAATAAAATCTTTAAAAAAGGAAAAAAGTAAAGAAAAGTAGAGAAAAGAAAAGAAAAGAAAAAAAAAGAAAAAGGATGCAGTGAATATCTTTTGTCATGCTAAGGGTATGCCCTGCTCCAGTTTTAAATCTAATTATGCATATATTCTATTTTTTAAATGTGAGATATATAAAATATAAACAAACCAAGCAAGTTTAAATAAAGAATCCAATGATAGATTGTATTTATAATGGGCTTTGGATTAATTTGCATTCATGATTTCATTAAAATTAATTCCTAGTGTAGTAAAGTATTGAATATGGTCTTGAGGAAAAATTGAACTGGATAATGTTGTGATGCTTCCATTCTGCTTGCTTTATAATTTGAGAAAAGGAGTGTACAGTGATTGCTCCTTTGATAATTTTGACTTTGATAATAACTTTATTTTATGACTAAAATCTTGTTCCATAATATAAGACATTCCTTCTTGGAATTGCTTTTTTGAATAATCATTCCAACATTGTACTTATTATTCTTGACTTCTCAGTTATAAATTCTACATAGGCCATTATCAGCAGATAATCTTTATAGTGTCAGGGGCTTATAAAACATGGATAATAGCATGGGATGATAATCTCTTTCAGGCTTTCTCTGGGATTCCTGAACAAGAGCACTTAATCCAGAAGGTATAAAATGCCCAATACAGGGCCCTGCTTACAGAGAATGTTTAATTAATGTAATTAATGATATATGTTATTTAGGAATTTATTTTAGAGTGAAAATTCTCATTTATATTTTCATATTTCCATTTTCTTTGAACTTCCTCAGTTTCCAGATCCTTTCAATTTCATGAGTTGCTAATGCACTGATGTTCTGTAATATACTCACTTTTATCCAAAGGCATTACTGATTTATTAATAAGTCTCCTAAATAAAGTATTAATAGTTGCATGACACCAATACCACCTATAACGACATTTTCATGGCCTAATGACTGAGCTCACCTTACAGAAGCCCCTTTAACCAGTCCTCACTTCCTTCCCTGGGTTCTTTCTTTAGGACCCAGATAAACAGTGTTAGGTTCCAGGTAGTTTGGTGAATAAACAAAAGGGCAAATGGCAATGATATGTTCCTTAAGAAGGCAGCGTTACTTTTGGGGGAAGTATTCAATTCATAAAGGTCACATCACTCAACACCTGCAAAAGATTTTGCTATTTTTATTGACATTTCTAAATGTTCTGAGTAATTTGTCAACTTCTCATAACTTGTGTGTTCTTTGTTACAGTGTTTTCTTCAGGTTCACAGAAATGTGTAGAAGCTTTTTATTGTTTTTACTCTGTCTGCAATTGGAATTCAGTGAGAGCATGCTCATTGGTACCAATGCTGAATGTTTTCTTTGGCCAAATTAGACATACTCCCTACTAAAACCGTGACTGAATAATGGGACTGAGTGGAAATAAACCAGAAAAAAAGAATAATATCGAGGGTGTATAATAAAATTTTTAAAAAATTTAAAAAAGCAAAATTTGGGGCACTTGGGTGGCTCAGTCAGTTAAATTGTTGCCTTTGGCTCAGGTCATGATCCCAGGGTCCTGGGATTGAGTCCCGCACTCGGCTCCCTGCTCCTTGCTTGGTGGGGAGCCTGCTTCTCCCTCTCCTTCTGCCACTCCCCCTACTTGTGCTCTCTCTCTCTCTGTCAAATAAATAAATAAAATCTTAAATAAATAAATAAATAAAGCAAAATTCAGTTGTTGACAAAGTACAATATTTTCCCAGTATAAAAATTAAACAGTAAAATCATAATGAATACAGAACCAATGACCATTTTTTTCAATAAAAAAATCTATTAATAATGCAGTTTTATTCAAGGATATAAAGTGTCATGTACTATATGAGTTATCTATTGTGGCATAAGAAAATACCTCAAAACTTTAGTAGCTTAAAACAACAAACATTTATTATCTCACATTTTCTGTAGGTTAGGTACTTGATGGGTTGCTTAATTTTGTGTTTCTGGCTCAGAGTGTACAACGAAGTTCCGGTTAGGATGTCAGCCAGGGCTGCAGTCATCCGAAGGCTGGACTGGGGCCAGAAGATCCATTTCCAAGGTCACACATGTGGATGTTGACAGTGGCCTCAGTTCATCCCCATGTGGGCCTCTCTATGGGACTTCTTAAATGTCCTTACTACACAACAGCTGGCTTTCCCCAGAGTGGGCAATCTAAGAGAGAGAGCAGCCAGGAAGCCACGGCGCCTTTTCTGACTTAGTTTCCCTATTTGCACACTGTCAATTCTGCATTTCTTCTATTCATTTGAAATGAAAAGTAACTCCAGCCCACACTCAAGGATAGGAGAATTAGGCTTCACCTAACAATTCCATTTGGAAGAGAATGTCAAGGACTTTGTAAACATATTTTAAATGACCACACACATTTACAACATTGCTGGAAAGTGGCTTAAATTTATTATTAAAACCATCTTTTAATAGAAACCCAAAATTCTCTCCATAAGTCATTACCAGGGCTTAATTAGATTTCAGGCTAGTGTTCTGTCCAGTAGACTTGCTGCATCTCTGAAGCACTGAAAATTTTCAGACCCTCTGATTAGCACAGGTGGTCTGCATTTATATTCAGACAACTTTATACAATCCATTTTGTTTGACCAATCAATAAGACAACTCTCTCAGCAGTCAGGCCAGCTAATAAATAAATAAATAAATGTGCTTAAATTGAAAACCAAGTAGGGGGGTGCCTGGGTGGTTCGGTTGGTTGGGCGTCTGCCTTCAGGGTCCTGGGATTGGGTCCTATGTCGGGCCCCTTGCTCGGCAGGGAGCCTGCTTCTCCCTCTGCCCCTCCCCCTGCTTGTGTGCTCTCTCTCTCTCAAATAAATGAAATCTTAAAAAAAATCATATAAAAAAAAGAAAACCAAGTAGGGTCTTTTTGTTGAATTTCATGTAAAAAATTTTGAAAAATGTTGATGAAAAACTATTTCTGTTACATGATATACTCTTTTTTCTTCCATAAATGAAGAGAGGATGGCCGTGTTCCTATCACAGCTCAAGCTGCCAGCAGCAATGTTGGCTGCTCAAGCTCACGGGAGGCCTGGTCCACCAGGAAAGGATGGATTACCTGGGCCACCAGGAGACCCTGGACCCCAAGGTAAGTCTCCAAGTATAATATTTGTTTAGAACATGCTAATCACAGTTAAAGCAAATATATATGTACATACATATATATGTGTATATATGTACACACACATATATATAATGATTAATACAGAGTATCTTATTCATATTTGACATTCTAGAAGTTGATTTTTAACTATTACAACTTCAAGCTTAAAACTGGCTAATAATTACATGCTACTCTAAATGTATTTTAATAATATTTGTTATAAGAATAACTGCAACAATAATGGCTTATATGTCATTATTTTGTGGGAATCAGGGTTGTTTATGCCTCCCTACTGATGTAATTTGACAACAAGAATCATCTTAGTATCTTGAGGAAGCTGAGGAGTCTTAAGAGATGCCACTACAGTAGTGATTTAGATCCAGTAAAATTTTGAGAAATTTTAGAATCCTTCCCATATGGTTTCAAAAATTTTTAAAGCAAAACTTTACTTAAATTGGCAAAAAATTATTGTTCCACTGATGACAACTTGACAGAAGATGTGATTTTGAGCATAGCTTGACTAGAGTAAGCCAGCAAGGTCATTTTCTAGAAATCTGGTTAGCAATCAGCAGAAAAACCAAATAGACCCTGGTTTAGAGGACTCACAACTCTGACAAGGAAATATTAAATCCAGTAAGTACATAGCATGAAAGATATAACCAGAGCAACTCCTTTTGATGTGTTAACATTGAGGAGCTCAAGGGTCCTCCTTGAAATAATCAAAAGTTTGTATAAAGGAGAAGACAGAGAGTGAACATCAAAATTGCAAGAGAATAAAGTTCAAAATACTATCTATGCAGAGAATTATTTTTCTTTCACAAGTTCACTGTCCTTCCTACGAGCCTGGTTTTCCATAGGAAGTGCCCAAGTGACTGACAGGCCCTTCCTTATCTGAAAGAACAACTATCTCCAATCACAGGGTCTGTTAGAGTCTTACCCTTCAGTCACAGCTGACAAGGCTTTCGGTTTAGTTAGCACGATGTAGAACAACAGAAACATCATTCTAGTTCACCTAAACCAAACAGTATATTCTACCTTTCCCTGAGTTCATAGAGAAGTTTGGCTGATAGTTGGAAGAAAATGTGTAGAAACGGGTATAGCCTTCTGTGTGTACATGGTTGTGTAGAAGGTAGTTAATTATTATCTTCCATTAGTTGAGTCTGTTCTGAAATCAGAGTCTATGAATCTGAAACAAAGAGATTGCAGGCTCATCCAAAGATGGATGATGCCTCAAACTACGTGAAGGATAAGAAGTGTTAACACCAATAGCAGAAAAAAATATGGACTGAAGCTTCAAATAGCTGTTCAGAAAGGACAAGAACAGTGGGGAAATCAGGATTATCAAGGAAAATAGTTCTGGAACTGGAGTCACCTGTCCATACAAACTCCGGGCTCCAGACTCCCTCCCCACGTAGGGAAGGCCCATCTGGAAGGCTCTCAGTCAGAGGCAATGCCAAGACAGCCATATTAGTGAAGCTTTTGGAAAAAGACTATTCACCACTCAATTTATCTTCGGTTTTGTGAAAGATTTCTGTGGGATTTATCTATTTGCTTAAGAAATCTTCCAGACTACTTCTACTCCTGATAAGACTTTTTGACTCAATTCTTGAATTGGAAAGACTTCCTTATATGATTTCCAACTTTTTAAAAACCAGTGTTTGGTAAAATTGACAAAGCTTGTGCTCGCTCTGGCAGCATGACATATGCTAAAATTGACAAAACTTTAGTCCCGCCATGGAGTTTCTAACAGATGTATCTTTGACTCCAACTCAGTTAGCTGTCTCTTCAACTTTCTTATAATAGCTCCTTTCTCATATTTGTTAAATTTGCCAGAAAGGCCATGGAAAAATAAAAACCTACATAAAATGGGGTCCATTTTTAAGGAATATTTGCCTGTAGTCATGCTATGCTGGTAAAGCCACCAAGCAATCTTGTTGTACAAAAGAAAACAAGAGGCTGCTATTTGATTTTTGGTGCCTCTCCAAGAGTTCACAAGTAATTGAAGGGTTTGTCTGTGGTAGAGAAATAGACAGGATGTGTTCAGAAGATAAAGTTATGCATATAGGCTCCAAGTTTTGCTCTGCCTGACTTAAAAGTTTTCTCCAAAAGGAAAGAAACAAAATGCATATAAAACTGTTACCCTAGTGTCCATTGCAGACGTCAGATGCTGTTGGCTGAATTAGTCCTCTTCGTGACACAGCATGATTGAGTTTGAGAAAAGATTGAAGTGAGAAAAGCAGCACAGAAAGGGAAAGAAAGTGTGGGCACTGAGCCTGGCGCAGCATGTCCTGCCCACTCATGGATTCTGTTTGATGGTGGCTCTTCTGAAATTTCAAAGAGACTTTTTTTCCAGTGTTTATTAGGAAAGAAATCCACTTTCATTTAAAAAGTGGTTTGTATTGAAATGTGTACTATAGAAGGAGTCCTTTATTATCGTATTATCTTAAGAGCAGGACAGAAATTTAAAGGGGTCTCATAAGTTTCCGGTGCAATCCTGAGAAGCAGGAGACCTGCAGAGAGTGATGAGAACATTGATGCGAGACTAATATCAGCACTCAATCCTAGTTGAGAAAGGGAGGTACTGCTCCTACCAAGATTCTGACAATGAAAACTTGGATCGTATTTCAGTGGCCTTGTCTTCATTTGATGAAAATAGAAACCACTGTGATTCTGAGTTGAGCCACTTCATTTGCATTTTCCCTGAAGTCCCAAAGGGGGTGATCGTTGACATCTTTTTTAAATTCAAAAGCATTTCTAGACAACTTTATATTTTAACCATCCCGTGGGTTTCTGGCTATTGCCTTCCCTCCACAGTGAGAGAACTTTCCTTGGTGTTCATTCCCACCTCGGATCTGCAGCGTAGGTTCTGATGGCTTGTGTGGCGGGGGTGAGCAGGAAGGTGCCACACTAGGATCAAAGAAGCCCAGTGGCATGATGCAGCTGGGTTTCCATATATACACGAGCGAGGCGGATTTCCCATCAGCCCTGATCCTCTTGGACGAGTTTTATGAGAAAGAACTTTATTTAAACTTTTTCCAAACACAACTGATTCTCCACCTCTGAAAATTCTGAAGAGCAGATGCTACCCTTGAAAGCCCTGTTTCAGAAAGAACCCCGCCCACAGAGTAGATGTGGAATTAGTAGCGGGAAACAGATCCAGTCATTCCATGTGTCCTCCATCCATTTTGAAAGGACATTATTGGGAATGGTGGTTCCTACTTTTGAACTCTTAAAGTTTGGCTGTTATTGGTTTATAATGAAGAAAGCCTTCTGTTCTTTGTAAGCCAGTGCCCCATAGGGTAGTTCATGTGACTGATACGGATCTGACCTGGCACACTGGTTAGTGGTAAGGGCCTTAGGAAACGGGAGGCATGTGTGTCCACCATGACTGAGGCACATGGCAGCCCGTCAGTGGGCTGGGCCACAGGAGGCTAAACAACTTGTGACGTGTGCCGCAGGCCCCCCTCCCCCAAGGAAGAACCGTCCCTCCCCAAATGCTGGAAACCCTCCTTTCATGGCCATTTTGTCCAGTATGCAGATAGATGCACTGAATTGCAGTTTAAAAGTAAATCCCTGGGGTCAAAACAGAAATCTGTCTACACTGTCTACAGAAAGTACATCCAGTCTGCCATCTAAAACACTCCAACAAGCACCAAGTTTCTTTAATGACTAAGACATTACTAGTCAGATGCTATAGATTAGGACATCACTATGGTTTTCTTTCCCCACCTAAGCTACAGGATATCAAACTGTCACCCTGCATCCTTATAGGCCATAGAAATACATGTCCATTGATGGGTAGACCTGCCTTTTATTCTTTTCCAAATTTCAAGAGAGGCCTACCCTACCCAAAGGGGTGAAAAGCTCAACTCTACAAAATGGGAAAGCTCTTACTGATTTTATTAGCATTCTTATCTGAAGTTTTGTTGTGAAGCAATTATAAAATAAGACCCTATGGCTTTATGGCAGCCTTCCTAAGGAATTAGCTTGAGGCCTTATTAGGAAAATTGAGAGTAAAATCTCTCATGTGCTTGTACAATTCAACAGCAATAGTAGGTAGTTATTAACCTAATGAACTGAGAGCTTTGTACAAATAAATCATTACATTTGACAGGAGAAATGTAAATGTTACCCTATTCTGCAAATATGCGAATTACTGTTTCTTGTTTTGTGATACCATATGCACTGAAATCCACATGGAATAATAAATTTTTGCATTATATTAAAATCTGAGAACTGAATTTGAGTATGTAAGTTTTAGCAGATACCCTCTCCATTTGGAATTGTGTTACAGTCTTGTTAATCCACTTGATAATCAAAAGTTCATACACCTTTTGCTTTTTTTCTTTCTTCCTCATTTTTTAGCCTATGATCTCAAGCACTTACTGAGATAGCTTGAGGGTCAACTTTATAATTTTTCATAATCGTTGGACCTGGGTTGAATTATCAAATATACCTCATGTAACACATGTTATTTTACTGCAGAAATGTTTAAATAATGGAATTGGAAGGGTGCTTTCAAATGACCCTAAATATAAGCATTTTTCCTTGTTCACACAAGTTAAATGAAAGTCACTTATGTAAAAGAAATTCTGGTAATATTTTGAATTTGAATATGTATCAATTTCTGATATCATGCCACATGTTCAAACCACTATTGTCTCTAAAATCTAGGATTATATTGAATATCTGTAACAGTCTTCAAGTATAAATGTGTGAAAATTTCTCCCTGGATATACTTCCAATATACACCTCAAAATATATTTCCTGAATGTATATGCTTTTTTCCCACTATTTTCATATTTATGGTCAGGTCACAACTCTAAACTAAAAAAAATAATGGTGGGTGATCCCATTGCTGATATTATTTTAATTATAAGATATGTATTATATTGTCAAGTAAAAATGAAGATTGGCAACCCCAAAACTGATGTCTAATTCTCAACAATAATGGGAAATCATTTTTCTTACATTCTGCTCATAGAAAACATTAAAATTTCTTCTCTTATCATGTTCTGCAGTAATAACACACCTTTACAGAAAGGCACAACTAAGTCAGGACCTACTTCTCCTACTGAGATGCTCTCCTGATTATCTCTGTTGGGTGTGTGCATGTTTCTGCATCACTGCTTTGTTCATTTTGGACAAGGTGTAGTCTTTAAGCTGCTGTCTAAATATGAAAAGTTGGAAATTAAACTCTATTTACCATCATCATGAAACTCTTAGAGCCACAAAACCTTTTTATCAAACAGAATCTTACATGGATGCCAATAGATAAAACACAGATCAAAAGTGTTATATGCTTTATATTTTTTATTTGCAATTTTATCTCTTTTATGTATCATTGACACACAATGTTACATTAGTTTCAGGTGTACAACATAGTGATTAACAAGTCTATGCATTATGCTGTGCTCACCCGAGTGTAGCTCCCATCTGTGACCATACAACACTATTACAATATCACCGACTATATTCACTATGCTGTACCTTTTATTCCCGTGATTTATTCATTCCATAGCAGGAAGCCTGTATCTCCCACTCCCCTTCACCCATTTTCCCCATTCTATCACCCCCTCCAGCAACCATCAGTTGGCTCTCGGTATTTGTAGGTCTGATTCTGCTTTTGTTTGTGTACTTATTCACTTGTTTTGTTTTTTAGATTCTACATATAAGTGAAGTCATATGGTATTTGTCTTTTTGCTTTTTAAAAGCAGAGATAAGGGCTCCCAGAGGCAAAAACTACTCTGCAGTTGTCTAACTCAGGTGACAACAAGCATATTCAAGAATAAGAATGATTTTATCTTAAAATGTATACAGATCTTAGACCTAATTCATTTTGGCTAAAGGATCTTAAATTGATGAAGTGAGCTTAGATGAATCCCTCAACCTCCTTGCTTTCTAGCATTGTTGAAGCACCTCGTCCTTTGGAGTTATGAACTGCCATGTTAAACCATGGCCTTGCTGGTTTAACTTTCCTTGGAAAGGATGTAATGTTGATGTAGTCAGTGATTTGAACAAAGACCTGATTTGTCCTCTCCTGACTTCTGAGATGGATGGCTTTCCATATACTCACACTCTTGCTGTCATTTATTAAAATCATGAATTTTTGTTCCTTTCATTCCCTTTAATTCTTGGACTAAGGTCCAGATTCTTGTCATATCATCTTGTCCTCATACTAAGCAGAACTCTGGCAGTATACTTCTTACATTTAGCCTGTATCTAGCGTCCAGTCAGAATTCCAACTGGAGAGGGTTCACGCACCTTGTCATAGCTCTTTGAAAGATGATATGAATGATTGATTTGAGTTACTTAGGTATCATTTTTCAGGGTCAAAAAATCTCACTATCAGTAGTTTGACTAGTTGGAACTTTTATGGTAGCTGCATATTTCTGAGATCCTCATTGCATATTGACCCTAATCTGATATGTAAGCCTAATGTGATTATAATGCAAAACAGATAGCTAATATGCTGTTTATGTTAAGTGAAGGAATAACATAAAATACATAGTATGGATTAAGAACATGATTGTTGCCCGTGCTCTGTTGCCACAGGACACTCTTACTTCTTGTGTCTCTCTTTTTATGTACCCCTCATTTAGGCTACCGAGGACAGAAGGGAGAAAGAGGGGAGCCTGGAATTGGGCTTCCAGGGAGTCCGGGTCTCCCTGGGACTTCAGGTAATAGTGATATTATCTTCACAACACAAGCAAGCCTCTAAAAACAGGAACTGCATCTTCTCGCCTGTGGCCCTTATGTGTTGCTACAGGTGAAGTTGAATGACCCATGTTGGTTGGAGTGAGGGAGGAAGAGCCATGTGTGATCTGCATTCTGATGGGGGTCTTTTATTTCATTAGCTCCGGGTTTGCCAGGCTCACCAGGTGCCCCAGGTCCCCAGGGCCCCCCAGGACCTAGTGGAAGATGTAATCCAGAAGATTGCCTCTATCCCGTGTCTCATGCCCGTCAGCGGACAGGTGGGAAATAAACACACCTGGGGAAGACTTGACATTGAGCTACCTTAATACTCTCAAACCCTCATGATATATGGGTGGCTTTTTTTTGGTTTTTGTTTTTGGTAGGCCAGACATTAAAAGCAACAATTGGAATCCTATTCCTATAGTAATTGGGATAGCAGAATTTTCAGCTTTTCCCAAATTCATTCCATATGTTTTGCTTCACCATTACTATGATTTTTATTCAGGATCTTCTATGAACTAAGCAAGCAGATCTTGTTATTAGTTCTTCTTCAAGATGAAATTACATCTTATGATTTAGTAGGCTGATGGTGATGTACATTTTCTAGACTTATCAACTTGTATTTGGCCTTTGATTTCTGAATTTTAAAGTTCCAGACTTCAAGTTTTCTTGGAGTTTAAATTTACCATCATTGCTAAAAATTTCAACTTTTTTGACATAGTGCATTGCTCCTGCTCAATGTTTTTTGATGACTTTTATAGCCGAAGATTTCTTATACCATCCTATGTCCATCCTGCTTATGCAGAGAAATAGATAGGCAATAAGAGCTTCACTTCATAACTCATTTTGGAAAAAAAAAAACCCAGGAGGCTATTTTATCAGGGACCCCAAAACCCACCATAGCCAACGACTGAAATGATTTTGCTAATTCTGTATAATGAGCTCAGTTCAAAGCAATCACCACTAGCATGAACATGTGCTGCATGAAGAGGGGAACAAAGTCCAATTGTACAAGAGTCCCACAAGAAAAGCCCAACACTGCAGTCTCTTTGCTGATTTTCTCATTTGGGAAACAGAAGGCAGTTTTCCCTAACAGGTGTTTGATGGCGGGGGCGTCAAGCTGTCTTTGGTACCTTTGACGATTACATGGCATAGCAAGGTCTTGGGGTCCTGGTATCCATTATCCTTCTGGCTGGATCACTCTCCGATTTTAAGACAAGAACTGGCCATCAGAACAAAGGATAGCAACTGGGAAAGAGACCCCTTGATCTAGAAGATGAAGGTGTGGTGCCTGCAGATGCTTATTGTGGAGGTGAAGCCCAAAAGCTCTTAGGAAGAAAGAGTATTCTCGAGAAACAGGGCAGCCAAGGAAAGCCACGGGACCGGATATGCAAGTAGCGCTCAGACCCAAGAGTTAGCACTAACTTCAGGGGAAAAAAACAGGCACTGTGAAGACAGCGTCCTCTGACGGGGAACGAAAGTACAGTGATCACCAACCCAGTTGCTTACTACGGTATTTTTATTGCCTAGCTGTACATTATTTTGAGAAGGTGAAAACACCTGACTTTCTAGAACATTGGGCACGAGGATGTTGCTGAAATCTAAGCAGTGGGTCCCACAGATGCGGTGAGTGTGCGGCCCAGAGCCCTCCTGCCGGAAATGAGGAGGCCCCACCTCTTTAAAGAGCAGCGCAGATTCCAATCTGGCTAGAACAGGCTACAATGGTTGCTTTTATTTGTTCATTGGAAAACGGATTTGGAAAGAAAAGCCCACTGAAATCGGAACAAGCTGTGAACAGAGTTGTGTAGGGAGGATTTTTTCAAATGCACCCATGATTTGAACTGGTTTTCATTAGAGATGAACGAACTGCTGGTCAGGTCTTGTCAACGTGGCTGTGTGCACACACAACCGTTTAGTTATTTCATATTGAATTATGTTGTATATTTCAATTCCAAGTTTGTTTCTTTTATTCTCTAAGGTTATTTATTTCCAATGTTTTTAACTTTAAATTGATTTTCTTCTTCAATTTTCCTTCCTGTGCAATACCTACCATGGTGCTGTGTTTTAGATTACACAATTGGAATATGCATATGCATTTTCTTAGTAAAATGATAAATTATGCCTCCCAAAAATGTACAGAGATCCAAAACCTGGTGCTATGTGTATATCTTGAGCTTTTAATTTGTTGAACTTTAATTTTTTGAATTTTCTGAAAGCTTACAACTCATCTGCCACTCCTTAATTTACTTGAACTTATCATGACGCTATACATTTTATATGTTTTCAAAGATTATTTTTTCATATTAATTAGTAGGTTGTTTATCCTTTTGCCTCTTTGCTAATCCAGAAGTACTTATTTTAGCATGTTCATGTTCTCATGAACATTTTTGCTGCTGGTGATCAGTGTATTTTTCCTTGTTTTCTTTGAGTCTTATATATCCATAAAAAGACTCCGTTCATTTTCTCATTTTATAACTTATGTTCATTTTAATTCCACAGAATATGTCATGCATCCTTTCTTACAAATTGTATATTTAGGAACCTTTCTTTGTCTAAATTCCATTAACTGCTGGGCTGGTTTATTCCTGTTCCAAGAATTTGGATTTATTCAGGTGATTTAAGGGGGATGGGGAATGTCACATCACGTTCTATGATGCATATGACAAAACAGAGCTCATGGATTCAAGCTCATTTGTTATAACTGACATATATGACTTAATCTACCTTTGGCATAAGTAGAAAAATGGGCCTGTGTCCACATGGAATGAACTCTTCTCACCCTGCTTGACATTTACTTTCCAACACTTGCTCTTGTCTCACATGATCTGCAGCCAACAGCAATGAGAAAGCCTGGGCCCAGCTAACACAACACCAAATAAAGTGGACATTTGGCAGTTGCCTAATTCCCTTACTATCAAGGAAGTGGATAATTAAGGCCCCGAAGTAGGGTGGGAAATTTTCCCCTCCATAATTTGGTGGTGGCAAACTTTGTTGTATCATTTTATTCCATTCCGAAGCATTTGTTTACTTTCAGAGAGATGTCAGTAGTGTCCACAGCAGGGAAGAAGAATTATCAAATTTCCTAATTCTCTCTTATTTGGACTCCAGAATAATTATAGGCCATGATGACAATTAGTAATTAAAACTGGGTTTGCCCTATATAAGTATGTTTGGATTCCAGTCTAACAATTTGTACCAAGATCAGTTAACACTTTCAGATAGAAATCTTTCTATGCAAAGAATAAGATGTGACTTCAATTAATATTCATAGCCTTTAGAATCTAAAGAAGAAGGAAGAATAATTCATGAGTTTGTTCATTGTTCTTTCCTGTTGAAGACATTAACCACTTCTTCCTGACCATAAGAGAAACACTACTAGTCTTAAACTTTGAAATTTTTCACTATGTGATCACAGTAATTTAATTAATAACTTTAAAGTAACGCCATACACTATTTCTATATTTCATGATATTGGTGAAACTAAAAATTTTGTCACTTACAGAGCTTAAGTAATTACCTTAAGATTTGTTGTAAAAATGTCATTTGGTGTTTGGATTATAAAATATTTTTTATGAATATGTTTTAGGAGTTAAATAAGACCTAGCTTTTCTGCAGTCTTTCTCATGTTGAGAACCTGTGATATACCTCCTTTTGTCCACAAGATGGTGTATAAAGCAATTTGAATCAGAAGAACTGAACAGACTTGCAGAAATACAAGGCTACAAGTTTAGTGGACAACTAAATCAGACCCTTGCCTTTGCACTTATTTTTTTTTATTTTTGTAAATAATTTCTTATTAATTTGTGTTTTGTTAATTTGTTTTAATATGTTCTTCCTCATTTTAAGTATCTTTATGAAGAAGGCACAATAACCTGTGATTCCTTGGCTGTTTCCATTTTATTTCTTAAGTGGATTTACATACCTGCTTAACTTGCAACTTTGCTATTGGTAACTTTATGTTATATACTACCCTCATATTTTGGTGATTAACATGAAAATGTCTTAAGTATTCATCCTACTTTTTAGACAGGATACTCTCTTTTGATGGACAAGTAAAAAGCATTTAGCTTATCTCAAGAAGTAGACCATTTACAAAATTACACAATGTCTAAATCTCCATAATCAAAGTACTTAAAATTTTTAAATTTAAAAATTAGATTTGTATAATGTTTCTATTTTCTAGAAATATATCACTATTTACAAAAAAAAAGATAAGGAACACTGTTTTTCAAGTTACTATTTTAATTTTGCTAACAGAGGTAATAATACCCTGAGATTGAGAATTTCTAGGTTAAATTATATTCTTCAGTCTTTTCAATGAATTCTCAGAATCATTTTGCAGATTGGTTCATTGCTTTTGTTCTTTTTTTTTTTTTTTTCACATTTGCCTGTGTTCACTTTCTTAAGACATGTCAGTGTTTATTGTTCTTTCTTCCCAATGTTCTTTCTTAGAACTTTAGTGTTAAGGGACACACACCCTCTCCCCACCCCACCCTTTTTTTTTAACCCTTTCCTCTCACAGACTACACAGGATTCTAGGAGGAGAAAATGAAAAAAAGAAATGAATTTCTATCTTTTATGCCTCAGTACTTCTAAGTGACTCAGCCCATTGAATTCATTTACTAGTTGCCTGGCAATGGTAGCATGATTTCTGTTAATTTTTTTTAATTACTAGGAGACTCAGGAAACAAGACAAATGGATGTTTTCAGTTTTACTGTGTTGGGTAGCTGGAGTTATAATCCAAATATTTTCTTCAACAAAATCATGCTGGACTAACTGGTCAGTTTAAACTGAATGAAGAACCAGTTGAGCACAGAGAAAGCTCACTCAGACAAGCAGACCCACAAGAGCAAAAATTTACCTCAAAGATAAGACAGGCTTATAAAACCAAAGCCAAGTCTAGGAAAATCTAAATGGAAAACATTTCATGTTCACATAATATAGTAAAGAGTGATACATTGTACAACTCAAGGAGTTAGCTACTTACTTCATGAATTTGTCAAAAGTGAATACTAATAAAGTAGGAGATTTCATTAAACTTATGGAGTAGTTACTAAGAATTAAGTTCATCAGAAGGGTGTGTGTCATTTGACCATAATAAGCTTATGGGTGTAAAGATGCTAATTAATTTACAATTTTTCATTTTACTGTATTATTTAAAGTATATTTTAAGGATAAATATTTTTCAGTGTATTGATGTATTTAAATTCAGATTGTTTTATGGCATATTTTATAACTATTTATTTTTAAAATAACATTTAGGGTATATTTTTTCCCCATTTTGTTTGTTCTCTACCTTACCTCATCCAACTATTTAAGATTTCATTGGACATAATCACGTTAAGTGGAATGGCACTAGTTTTATTCCAAATCTCACTTGGATATAAAGCTTTGAGGCCTTGATTCCTATATGTCCACGATACATAATAAGCTTTTCGCTTATCTTAGCAATAAAGGATTTGACCCTAAATCAGGGAATTCTAAGGTGCAGTTATTAACACCATTTCTACTCTCTACCACTTCACCGTTTCTCATGGCTGAAGCTCCACACTTAGCTCCATTCTGGTAGGTCTCAGCCACAAAGATGCCCCCAAAGCACTCGCATACCAAACGTGAGCCACACAGATGTCCAGGAAACCTGTAACTTGGACTATTGCAGGGTTCATGTTTATACCATGCAGGAGATTATGCCTTTGCTTGTCACAGGAATCAGTGCTTAGCTCATAATAATTAAGTTTATTACCCATCTCCCTGGCAGCTCATAAAAAGCCTGGTCTGATGATTGTGGATAAGAATTACAAGCAGAAACAAAAGTCAGAGAACAATCCATCCTTTGCAGCTTTTGTCACACAAAAGTGATCTCCTCACTAAAATCATTTAAGACTCATTGGTATAGAGGGGCCTGAGCAAGATAAGAAATATCACAGTTAACTTTTCTCATAAATGTAAGCTCTTACATCATTAATGATAAGGCAATAGGCAATAAGAAGTTAAATACATAGTATGTTTCCCTAACAGAAATTAATCACATCAAAACATGCCCGTGGATTTACATGTCTGTTTAGACTGGGAAATGATTTACATAGGTCTTAACTATTCTCATCTTCAGGTCTCCTTGTGATATAGTAAATTAACCAGGTGCTCTCTACGGAATATTCTCAAGTCTTTTCACACACAGATCTTCAACGTGGAGGCCAAAGACAAATGCAAATAAATCTTAAAAGGAAAGATAGTTTCTTGGAGCCAGTTTCCCTCATTTGTTCTCTCTCTAGTTAGTCTTAGAAAACTTGTTGGAGTCAAGAGTAAGATTTGGAAGCATGTTAAGGAGAAAGTTAGCATGGGTTGCCATTTACAAAGACTAAAAATAATACCAGCATCCTCTTTCTGATAACTGGATCTAACAAACAGATTACACTTCCCCTAGTTAATCATTTAAAGAGCATTTGAGCATGTGTATTTAGAGTCCTACATTGTAATGGTTAACAGATTGTGATTTAATAGTTCCTGAGCCATATATACTTAATACCACCATCCCAGATCACAAGCTCACTGAAAAGGGTTAAGTACACAAATGAAAAGGATTTGCTTTACTCAATGGGAAAAAAAGGACTTGACCTATATTTATTGAGCACAAATATTGTTATTAAAGATATTTAAAACCATTTATGTCCGTTGCAAAATTTGTAAATGGCAGAATCACTAGCTTGCTAGTATCTTCTCTCTATAATGGCTTATTTGTAAACTCATAGATATTATACGCCAGAAAACACTGTCGTAGCCAAAAAAATCAAATAATAGAGATGATCTTCTAAAGCAGGGATTCTAGCTTATTTCAGGTGGCAAATAAATCAGATTTTACTAATGATGTTTAAGAATAGCAATATTCATTTAGACAGTTGGACATATAAAGTGTCTATAATCAAATCAATCATGTAACTGATAGGACTACTAGTTCATACTCTTCTGCTAGACAGAAGTCAATTATCCCAAACCATGCCAGTGAATTTATGTGCTCAGTCAACCTTGGAAGTGATTTCCATAGTTCTTAACCAACCTGTCAGATGTTTGGGATGAAAATCGTATCATAATGCCATAGAAGCACTGACCAGAAATAAATCAGTGATCATTTGCCCTTGAGTAATATGCCAGTTTCTAACCAGCCTTAATTATTCACACACTCTTCTCTTAGTGAGTGCTCTAGGTGGCACTTCACCCAACTTTTAAAAATATCTCAAGGAGGTTTGGAACTTTCTGTTTTGCTAGAGAGAGATTTGGCTTAATTAAATATTTATCAACTCTCATTGGAGAGGATTTGTTGGATGCTTTTCTTTGCAATTTCTCAGTCAAGTATTAACGGCTTCTGTAAACTATTTCACTTAACTGAATTTACAATGGATTGTTCCCACCATTTGGAATGTACTAGTTTTGCATAATCTATTTGTAAGTGGTTGTTTCCAGTATTGCTTATGGTATCCGTGGGACTTGCTGTACAGCCTTTCATATATCAGGTTTGTAAAACAGTTGAATGAACTGTTCTTTGAAATTTTATTTTTTAAAACTTTTCTTATGAATACGATATAGAACTGGGAAACATATTTATTTGGTTATCTAATTTTTCTTTTGTTGTATTTGATGTCACTCCAGTTAAAATAAAACCACCTTTGTGGAAAGACAAGGCCATTTCTTTGCATTTATTTGGTTAAATGTTGCAGTACCTAAAAAGGTTTGCCATTTATATAAAGATCATTTTAAGTAGTTAGAATGGATGTCTCTATTTCCAAAAATTATCTATTCTACGTGAAGGAAAACATCCTTTTCAGTGTGTGTAAATGGCATTCATTTATGCAGCCAAGTTGGAATCATTCTCCTGAAGCACAATCCATGCTCAAAGCACAGAACTAGATGCTCTGAGCAGTTTTAAAGAAATCCAAATGCAGGGAGAGGGGAGGAGTGCCCGGATGGCTCATTCGGTAGAGTATGCGACTCTTGATCTCAGGTCATGAGTTCAAGCCCCATGTTGGATGTGGAGATTACTTAAATAAATAAATAAATCCTTTTAAAAACTTAAAGAAATCCAAATACAAATTAAATAATGATTGATTTGGCCAAACAGGGCTAAAATTTTCAAATGTATAGCAAGTACACAAAAGAAAAAACCTGGTATCAAAGATCCTATTAGGGCTCACTCCCCCTTGACTTGAGATAACTGAATTCCCTAAACCAACTGGAGATATTGACTGTTTTGAGCACTGTGCTATGCCCCTGGGAGAAGTTACTGTGACATAAAATTAATATATTAATTCTGATCAATAGTTGATAGAAATGTCAATAAAATAGCCAGTCAGTGTGACTATGTAAATAGTAAGAAAGTGCTTGAGCGGTCAGGCAATACCTATCCTATTGATAAGAATACAGTGCTTTAGCTGAGCTGTCGTTATAAAATGTCTACGAAAAATGGTGAAACATAAATCATTTTTGCAGCAGTGAAGTTCTGAATAGGAAGGAGCTAACCATTGAAACAAAAGCAGTGGTTCCTAACCTAGAAACCAAGTCTGAAATGAAGTCTGAAATAGTCTGCCAACATGTTTGTACAGATGCACTCATGTGTTTTTCTGGGATCATGGCCCCATAGCTTTCATTAAAATTTCAAAAAGGTCCTTGAAGCTCTCCTGCACACTGCACACATACACACAAAGAACTTCTATCCCCAGGGTAACACGCCCTAGGGAACAGGAAAGGTTTTTTTAATTTCTCCACAGAGAAAAAGCACTACTATCATAAACATGCCTATAGAAATACCAGTAACTAGAAATTTTTCAATGTATCTAAATAAGTTCAGTGACTTCAATCATTGAACATGATTTATAAGAAAACATGCAAGAGATTAAGAAACCATATTTATTTCTTCTTTGGTACAACCAGGGATGTTACCTCAAACCTTGAAAATAAATAACCTCATTAAAACTTACGAATGTCAGGATATTAAAATTCCTTCTTTGCTTCACATAGAAGAGCTCAAAACATTAATGGGTTTGGGATACAGTACAGTTCAACAAAAATCCAGGCTGACTACAAAAACCAACACGTGATGTAAGGAAATCATTGTGCACGGCTCCCGAGAGGACACACTGCCGGGCATTTTAAGTACCAGTTCTAGTGACTACAGTGAGGTTTCTTCCTCACTGGTCTGATAATCCTCTGTACAACCGAAACAGTAATCTGAGAACAACATCTAAATAAAAAAGGAAAAGAACTACTCCAGCTAAGGAAAACCAAACAGTCGTCCTTCTTTATTGGCACAGCGGCCCACGATGGGTCACACATGTACAGCGCGCTAAAGTTCAACATCCCGGGAATAGGATTATAAATTTATTTAAAGGGAGGGTTTGGGGGTTTTGTTTTTGTTTTTATCTGATGACTCTCCTGTCTCCCCTCCAAGGGAAAAGCAAGAGAATTTATTGAATAGCACCATTGTTTTAAATTTGTCATTAAGACTTATGTAATAACGTTGACGGTAATGCATCGTTGTCTCTTCCCTCAGCTTCGGTGGTGTTTCTCCTCCACGCTCCTTTGCCAGGCATGGTTTATGCAGACAGCCACGTGGCACTAAGCTTTTCACTGATCGGGCCCTTTGATAAATGCCCGTTGCCCAGCCTGCAGGGTGCAGGAGGCTGGCTCGCAAAACCCAGGAGGGCCAGGAGGGCCCGGGGGGCCAGGTACCCCGGGAATTCCTGCCACCCCTGGGGGGCCTCGCTCGCCATCCCGGCCATTCCTCCCATAGCTGGCAGGACCTGGTTCACCTGAAACATAAACGATTGCACATGTGAACAGGAGAACCCCGAAGGCTGTGAGCTGGCTGAAGGCCCCAGACTCCCTCCCCCAGCCCAGCGGGGTGCACACAGGGCCTTAGTAAGTGCTTTTGGAAAGGATGGATGAAGATCGATGATGATGATGATGATGATGATAAAATTCCTTCGCTGGACTTGGGTTTCTTAGAAATTAAAAATGGAAGGAGGCCTCAGCATCTCCAGTACGGTAGCCTCTAGCCACATATGTCTATTGAGCACTGAAATGTGGCTAAGTCAAATTGGGATGAACTGTAAGAGTGTAAAACACACCTGGACTTTGAAAAATTAAAATATATTTCATTAATAATGTTTGTTCTTATTACATGATTAAAATGATAATATTTTGGACGCAATGGGTTAAACTGTATTATTAAAATTAATTTCACCTGATTCTCTTGACGTTGACAATGTGGCTACTAGCAGATTTAAAATTATGCACACAAGTCTCCTTGTGGCTCACATTGTATTTCTCCAGTGGCATCATCCCTAATAGGTGATCTGCCCCCAGACAGGGAGTACAAGTGTAGCTCAGTGGTTAGAAGCATAGGATTTAGAGACAGACAGCTCTAAGTTCTTGCTCTGCCATTTGTGAATAGGGTGACATTAGCAAGTCACTAAACGTTCAGTTTCTTCATCTCCAAGATGGGACGATACCTTCCTTAAAACTAAATTCCATGCCTGAAAACATCTAATAAATAGGGGCTATTATGATTATGAGGCTATCACTGATGGATGTCTTAGAAGCCTGTGCAATGCACCTACAAACTTCCCAGATGTTTTCTCATCAGGGGTTCACCCCTACGTGAATTGTGTCACGGCCTGAGTTCCTTGGGAGCATTTTCTCCCTTTGTCATGTTCAAAGGTTGTTTGGTCACCCCATGGGGCACATTCTCTGAAGCAGAGTACCCCATAACAGAGAGGAATTTCTGCTGAATGTTTACGCACCCCATCATACCAGCAGTGTTTTCGCACTATTAGCGTAAAGATGGCAGGAAGAAACCGGTATGAGACAAATTGTATACGCCATGATGATATAGTTTCATAGAGATCCTCATTCCATCTCAGCCATCCTGCCTCGGCCATTCAGCCAGACGGTGAACATGTTCAGTTATGTATTTACTTAGATTTACTTTCCTTCTCTCTCAGTGATTTTAGTTTTCTTTTTCTATTTTCGTGGTCTTATTACATGTGTCTTTTATTGGTCTTACTATAGTGGTCTGGTCTTATTAAGTCGTCTTATTACCTATATCACATATTTTCATTTATTTTAGATTTTATTTATTTATTTGACAGAGAGAGAGAGAGCACGATCACAAGTAGGCAGAGCAGCAGGCAGAAGGAGAGGGAGAAGCAGGCTGTCCGCGGAGCGGGGAGCCCAACAGGGGACTGGATCTCAGGACCTCGGATCATGACCTGAGCTGAAGGCAGACACTAACAGACCGAGCCACCCAGGCCTCCTCTCACATACTTTTAGAAGGAAGATAGATTAGAGATCTTACTTTGTATGTAAGATCTCATTCTTCCTGTGATTTTCTCAATTAGATCCACACACAGCAAGAAAATAGAACAACATATTAAGTTTTAAGAGAATAATTATCTTTGATTCTATCCATCTCAAGGCTGTAGATAAGCAGAGATGTAAGTAATTTCCCCTAATGTATCCCATAAGCCTCCATTTAACTATATTAAGTTGTAGTGAAGCAGATGATTGTGTTTTCCTCTAAAGACCAGGCCCCTGAAAAAGTCTTTCCCTAATAAAGAGCACCTATAAATAAGCCTCTAGCAGAACCTCTTCCGGTCTCCTGATACAAGCAGTTGTTCAAAGTTGGTCTTTTAAGGTTTAAAAGCTAGGCCAGATAAAGGGGCACATAAAGGGTAACTTTCATAACCTTAGGAGCAGCACTATTCCCATGGAGACATACCAGGTCTGCCTTCACAAAATCAAATCAAGATGAAGAGAAAAATGCCCAAAGCAGAGGTCACAAACCAAATGACCCCAGAGGCAAAGCGGGTAAGGCAGATTGGGGCAGGCGAACAGAGGGGAGCCCATGAGCCAACCCCTATTTTTGTAAATAGTTCTATTAGAACAGAGCCATGGCCGTTCGCGTGCGTATTGCCGACGGCTGCTTTTTCACTACAAGGGCAGAGCTGTATAACCGCCACGGAGCCCGCAGGGCACACGGATCCAAAAACTCCAGTCCTTTACAGAAAAAGTTTGCTGGCCCTTAAGGTAGTAAGGAAATGCCCTGCAGTCTTTACGAGAAGAAAACTGATGTAATGAGAACTCCCCATCGGTGGTAGGGAGGCAACAGGGAGGACGGAGGCCTGGGGCAGCTTGGCTCCAGCCAACAGCTGCGACGAGGGAAGACGCACCGGAGCCTGCAGAACCTCTGCTAATTGTCAAGGAAAGCTAGAAGCTGCATTCTTGAATAGGTCTGTTTCTACATCCTACCAACTAATTCAAATTTTTATTGAACATTTGTACAGCCAGACTCCTGCCTAAAACCTTAAACTTAAGGGAATTTATTCTCTACTACACAACAATATTAGAAAGCAGAAGGAAAGGGGTACCTGGGTGGCTCAGTCGTTTTTGTCTGCCTTCGGCTCAGGTCATGGTCCCAGCGTCCTGGGATCGAGTCCCGCATCGGGCTCCCTGCTCAGCGGGAAGCCTGCTTCTCCCTCTCCCTCTGCTGCCTCTCTGCCTACTTGTGCTATCTCTCTGTCAAATAAGTAAAATCTTTAAACAATTTTTTTTTTTTTTTACTTTATCTGGGGCGTCTGGGTGGCTCAGTCGTTAAGCGTCTGCCTTCGGGTCAGGTCCCTTCCCCGCTACTCTAACCCAGCCGTATCTCCATACCCACTGAGGAGCTAATTCTGCCGAGGTGTGTGCGCGATTGCGCCTGCGCGGGCCGGCATGTGTGGGTGGGAGGGTGTTTTTTGTTTAATTCTTTGCACCTGAATTGACTAGGGAGTAAAAAGAGGCACAATAACCAATAGTACTGATTCTTCTGGAACTCTATCATAAGAAACTAAAGATATTTTTTCTGAGGTTTTGTCCTGTAGAAATGACCAGAGGAAAAAAAAAAAACAGCCGTCAAATAACGGATCCTCATCAATTTCTGGTGAGTCCGCACCCTGGGCATTTACTCTCAAATGTTGTTACTGTTTAGGATGTAATTTTAGGGTGACCCTATGTCACAGTCCAAGTCATTGAAGAAGTCCAGCAGTTGCCTTAGCGAGTATCTATAAACTACCCTCCAACTCTTCAGAAGAAAACAGATCTGAAGTGTTTTCATTCTGCTTTGTCTGCCTCGTGGGTCTGTTAGCGGCACTAACTAGCTAATGATTACACAGTTTTCTGAAATTCCAAGGACCTAGAAAAACGTTACGGCCAAATATTTCGTTATTTTTTTAAAATGAATGTCTATGTCATTCTCTGTGCGAACACTAGAGGGTAGTCATGTTACATTGATGGAGACCAGTCCCCGCTGGAACATTCTGAAGGATCTAATAACATGCCGCAGAGTGAAAGGGACTGTGTATAAAGGCCTTAAAAAAAAAAAAAGCTCAAAGTAATTTTCAGCATTAATTTGGTGATTTATCCACAGGTTATGTAAAATGTTTGTATGTTCCAGGGACTTCCTTACATTTCTCACCTTAGGCAGAGCTTTTGTGGTGTTTGACAAAGCATATGCTTAACGAATTGGCATAAAGCCGTTTGTTTATATAAGATCCCCATAGCCAAATAAAATAGCTGCAGTGATGGAAATAGGATAAATGGCTACTGTTAAACCAGCCTAAACTGAGTGTGCCCCTTGGTTTGGGGCTTGTTGGGGTTTTTTCCACTCAATATTCACAAGCAAAGCTCACCTCTGTGCAAATTTTGCATAAGAAACCTAAATAGCCCAGTCGCCTAGTGTGACCTTGCACAAAGCCAGCTCTACCCTTCTCTCCTCGTCCAAGAAGGGAAAGCGTGTCAGTTCACAAGCCACATTCCTGGTGGTCACATACATATGAGTCCTTATTGAACTGGCTTCTTCCCCTCATGAGTTTGCACAGTGGAGATCAGGACCTGTTATTAAATATGTTTCCTTAAAATTCTCAGAGCGTCAAGGAACTGGTCCCAAGTAGGCAAGTGGCAGCAGGGCATAGAGATTTACCCTTAATGAGACAACCCAATCAAGCGATACCACCAAAGGCCTGTGGGAAGAAACCGAAGGTGGGGGTGGGGGGTTGAGGGCATCTAAAGTCCCAGGGATCTCTAATGTGATCCACTCTGCTCTGTGAGAGAGACCAAAAGGAATGAAGATACTAAGTGGTTATGGGACTTGCTGAAGTTATATGGCTAGAGTGGCGGAAACAAACGAATCACATTACTAGACAGCCAGCTCAACATTTTGTCTACTACATGAACCTGGACCTAGAAAGTACGAATATTTGCCTCTGTCACTTATTACCTGAGAGACCTTTGTTAGAGCAGGTCAACTTTGTAAGTCTGTATTTCCTCAAACAAACAGAGGAATACAAAATAATAATAGCTAAGTTTGCAGCATGCTGGCCATATGCCAGGCACTGTTCTAAGGGTTTCACATGTATTAACATGTACATAGATCCTCCTAAATAACTCTAGAAGGTACATGTGGCTATTAACCTTGTGATATGGAGGAGAAACCGAAGTGCTAGGAGGTGAAGCAGCTGCAAGTAAGTGACAGCCGTGTATGCACCCTGGAAGCTTGGCTCCAGAGTCCATCCTTCCTAAATACACATTCTGCCTCCCTCTGGCTGTGGGAAACAGACTGGAGGATTCATGGGTACTTTTTAGACAACAGAGCACTTCAGCCAAAATGATAGCATGGCGGTTATAATAATGATCTATGGTCCACAGGAAGCAATGTACCATTACAGCCCCAAAGGGCCGCATAATACTTAACACTGAACAGTGAGATACGATATGGAGAGGAGACAAAGAACTAAGACCGTCCATGAAGAGCAAAGGAATTCTGATAACTGATAATTAATGTATTAGTTACATTTTTTTCCAAATATATCAGATGTGTTTGCATCAGAAAGAATGATCAAATGAACTTCTTTTTTCATCCAGGAGGATTTAAGTCCCGAATCCAAGTCCCAATTAAGGGACAAGGAAGGTTCCGGGATGTCCTGTTCTGCAGGATGTTTCTTTTAGGTACAAGTCCCTGCACCGAGTGCTACTGGAAGTTCCTCCAGGCCCTGAAGTCCTATTACTATTATGTTTGTGAGAGACCAGAAATCACATTCCAGGCTCTGCCAGGGAAATTAAAAAGCCCAGCCTCTCAGTGGACAGTGAACTCGTTCAATAATTTACTGTGAACCAGTACTTTGCATTTATGGTTTGGAGCCGGAAGTCACCCAATGTCATAGAGCTAGTAAGTGACAGAGTCAAAATTTGAACCCAGGATGTCTGAACTGTGGAGCTCCAAATAGCCCACTTTCCCAGTACTAGCTTAAGGGGAGGAATGACCCAAAAAGCTCTTGTTTGGGGACTGATGGATTCGAGAAATTGTTAGCTAAGCATATTCATAGTGTAGACGAGAGAATGTGAGCTGACCTAAAAAACCAAAGAAAACCAAAGTACCCAGCCGGCGCCTCAGGGACTGGGGGAAACATAAACCCTTTGTGCCTGTGCACGAAAGCACTTGCAAAACTGCATGCTTTTGAAAGGTAGCCCAAACTTTTAAAATATAATCTGAAACTCAGATTTCCCACGAAATAATGTCAGTATCCTTTCAAGGGAAATATAACAAAAGCATAGACCAAGAAGACCAGATTTCGGAGCAGTACCAGGAAGCAAGGAACAAGGACTGGCAGAAGGTAGAAAGGAAAAGGCAAAGGGCAGGGGCAGCAGTCCTGAAATAGCCCATAGATGTTTTTAACAAATCATATTTAAGTATTAAATCCAAGACCAGCTCTAACAAGTTAATTTTTTCATAAGGGAGACAAGTGAGGACCAGGCAGAGCTGCCAGTGATGAGCTCGTCCCGCCTTAACCACTGTGCCCACACGCAAATGTCTGATGTACTAAAAAGCAAATCAGGGAAGCCCCTTTTTGGGAGAGCAATGGCCCAAGAGCACACGTAAAGCCCTCCCAGTCAGAGTCAGCAAATCTGAGTGGGTTACTGCACGTGGGGAACAATGTGTCCCCTCACAACAGCCTGGGACCCTGCACTTACAGAGCTGGGTCTGCCTCAGTCTTCCCATTTGAAACCCAAAACATGGTTTATCAACAGAGTTTTTGAAACTAAGAGTCATCAGAAATGAGAATATATTTCTGATAAAGGAAAATCTTGCCAAGAATGCAAGTTGCTGGTCTGAGAACTGTTACGTGATTTGTCCACAAAATAGGAGAAGGAGAACTTGTAAGGCAATCCTACAATATACAGATAATTAAGTAAATTGTAACGGTATTTTTATCAACTTTAAACCACCTATTGCTACCACTGATAAAGGAGGAAAGCACTCAGTAAATTCTATTTCCCTCTCCTCTTCTAAACATCCATCAATGAATGTAGACTTTATCATACACTGAAATCTTCTCTTGGTCCCATGTAGCTTCAACCAGATTTTCTTTCCTTTTCCAATCATAAAAACTTCCTTTCCCAATCACGAAAATTTATCAATTTGTGAAAGCATCTTGACAGACCCATGAATCACAGCTTTAGCAAAGCAGTGTTTGAGCCATCTCCAAATGTATTCGTATTTAAAAAAAAAAAAATGAGAAAGCAATTCCCAGGAACAATGAAATGGATAATGAGAAAGCAGTGTTTTTGGCTGCAATTAGTCATGATTGAATAGGTAAGCCTCTGTCAGAATTAGAATGAGCATTTCTTTTGATAAATTTCCCTACATCAAGTTTTCCAAATCCGCTATGGAAGCACGGACCACCCTTTCTCTGCAGAACCCCTCCCCCTGACTGTCCTCAGCTCCAGGGTTGGGAGCCTTCCTTAGCCACTGCCCCGGCAGCTGTAAGGGTTCTCTGGGAGGCTGCATATCATTCATGCCCTCAAACCCAACTGACTTTCCACCCTGCTTTGCTGCTACTGGGGTTGGGCTGGTAGGTCATTTCCCAGCAGATGAGTGGGTGGCAGCTTGAGCTGAGGGGACAGAGTAGCCAGTATGTAAAGAGAGAACAGACACCCAGTGAGCGAATCCAGGCTCTTCACACAGAGGCAACTTTGTCGCCTCAGCCAACACAGCTGTGATACGTGGCTTGTGCATGGTTCTCTGTGGTTATATGAATAAGAATGTTCAGGTTTATTTTATTTATTTATTTTTGGATTTGGATTTCTGGAGGGTCTGGATATTTGAAACAGGAGCTTTTAAAATAAGATTTCAGTTACTCCCTATGCAACATGAGTAGTTGGAAAACTTGGATTTTCTTGTTGCTCTTTCTGGTTAAAAATAAACAGAAAACTATCACCGAGGCTAACAATAGATAGGATCTCATTCATTCAGAATTTTCTAATGAGTGCATTGTGGCTGGACCTTGACACGACTTTTTTAAATCATCTATTCAAGAAATTAATATTTTAAGCCCTGATACTTGTTTTCTCATGAGGAACACAGGCATCATTTACAAATCATTTGACTCTTCATTAAAGTTGGTCTTGAAAAATCTGTGTCAGCCATTATTGTTACAGGCTTAAGTAATCAAAGAGCAAGTCTTTAAAATGGTATCCAATTCAGACTGCCCACTTGCTACCAATTTCTCAACCCCATGCTGCCATATAACACACTTACCTGGGAGACCTATAGCTCCGGGCAATCCCTTAGGACCTCTTCCTGGAGGGCCACGTTCCCCCCTTTCTCCCAAGTCACCTGCATTCCATTAGAGAAATGTTATTTTTCTATATGTCTATAAAAACAAAGTTCCATATTTTTAAACTTTAAGCAAACCCAGCATTGAGAAAGCAAAAGGTCATGAAGTTGTCACAAACTAGGTTGTAGTAAATATGTAGCAAGGCAAAACTTAAGTCAGTTATATGAAGAGATCTAAGGGGAAAAAAATCTAATAATCGTATTCATCAAATGATAAATCAAATATCAAATGATCAACATTCAGTAAAATAAGAATCAAAAGCTACCTCCTTAATGTGATAAAATATATCTACCTCAACCCAAGAGTTAGCATAATGCTGAATGGGAAACACGAGAAGCAGTTCCACTACCCATAGAACATCACAGAGATGCCCACTTTATCTCTAGTATTTGTCATTTGGTTTGAGAGTCGAAAACATCCCTCTTTTTAAGTTGTATCAGTGTATATCTTAAATCCTTGAAAAGCAACTCAAAATCTACAACAAGCAATGACAGAATTCAGTAAAGTAGCAAGATACAAAATTAATATATGAAAATCAGTAGTTTTCATATATACAGACAACCACCAAAACTAAGATGTAGTGAAAAAATATCCCATTTATAATAGCAATTAAATTAATAACAAGGAATAAGTTTAATCAGAAATATGCAAATCCAACATTAAAAAAATAACATTTCTAAAGGATACAAAAGGACTTGACAACTGTTCTTAGGTGGAATGACATCATCACACAAAGGTGTGAGTTCTCCCTAAGCTGAAGTTTCATCATGATCCCAATAAAAAGATTTTTTTTAACTGAAAAAGGGGATTCTGAAGTTTGTACAGAAAAATGCATAAACCAGAGTAGTCACAAAAACTCCAAAAAGAAAAGCTACATGAAGGGAATTAATCCTACCGCATATTAAACCAATTAAACTGGTACATGAATAGATAGACCAGTGAACAGCCCCAAAACAGGCTCCAATACCTACAGGATTTTGTTTTGTAATATATGTGCCATCTTAAAGTGGGAAGTAGTCGAACAAGTCAATAAATGGTGTTGGAAAAAGTAGGTAGCCAGCTGGAAAAAAAAGTAAAGTTGAATCTGTTCCTCACAACATAATCCAGGATACATTACAAGTGGATCAAATATTTAAATGAAATTTAAGAATCAAGAAGACAAGGGAGAATTATTTTATAACTTCAGATTTGAGTTGGCCTTTCTGCTGTGATTCAAAATACGAAGAAAAGTTCCTAAAATCAATACAAAAAGGTCAACAACAATAAAAAAAATATATAAGCAAGAAAGTCACTAAAAGGAAACAAAAATAGCTCTGAAATATATGAAAAATTCCTTCACTCTCACATCAAAATACACGGAAATTAAAAAATACAATGAAAGCTACTTTGAACTATAAGATCGGCAAAAATTCCAAAGTTGAATCAAACCTATGCTAGCAGGTCTGTGGAAAAACACATTATTACATATTGCTAATAAGACTGCAAATTGGGACAGTCTCTTGGAGGATAATTTAACAGTGTCTATCAAAATTACAAATGGTAGTACCATTTTACCTGGCAATTCCACTTCCAGGAATTTATCATAGAAAGAGGTTATGTTGATATTTACACAAAAATGAAACAGACAGTGTTGTCCACGGCAGCCTTGCCATAATGGCAGAAGACTGGACACTAAATGTCCACAAGACGGTTAAATGCATTATGCTATTTCCGCAGAATAGCATACTATGCAACTATGAAGAAGAACCAGGAAGCTCTTCGAACGATCTCAAGACCTATTGTTCAGTGAAAAAAATGCAAGGTCCAGATCATTACTAAAGGGCAACATGACTTGTTTCTAAAAGGCTGTAGGGAATGTATGTAACCATATATTGTACCTCATCATTGGTAAGGATACCTAGGAAACTCATAAAAGGGATTACCTAATGGGAAGGATAAAGGAATCTAGACAGGAGGCCGGGGTGGTGGGAGAAAAACTCTTCACTAAATATCTTTTTGTATATTTTTAAATTCTCAAACACTAAATCTAGTGTCACTGAAAGTAAATTAATGAATTTTCAAAATTTAAAATGTGCTATCACAAGTGCCTACATTTCACTTGTGATTCATTATTTACAGGGACTGTGCTTTGGATTACAATCAACCATGTGCATTTGCAAGACAGTTGATTGAATTTGGGGATTCAGCAGCCACAGAACCAAGTTTCATTAATTATCCTGGCTCCTGCAGAGAAACCCAGAAACTTGGCCTCATTAACAAAGTACCCTAATACCTAGTCAACTGCTCCTAGATGACATTTATGGCTCCTAGTAGAAGGCATTATTCTACTATCCCATTGGTATAGTATTATGTTATTATCCTACTACTCTTTTAGAAGATTCAGTGGCAATTTGCAACAGATTCTATACATAATCATTTTTCCAAACATCTGTATCAGCCCAACTTTATTCAATATTAAGTCAAGTTTGTTATAATTTAAAAAACAAAAGCATGCATGCCAAAATAGCAAAAAAAAAAAAAATCTATGAAGTGAATGTTTAAATAGTCACCGTACTTTGATGTTTGCTGTGAATGCCTTTGAATATTTTTATCATGAATCAACTATATTTTAAAAACAATTTCAAAATTATAAATACTGCATAAAGATATAGAACTCAAGTTGAACTCATACTCACATAAGCTGTTTTTTTTTATACTCCTCATCAATATGGCCTTACTATATTAGGAAGATATGATAATTAGCATTTTAAAAACTAACAACTTAAGCGCTCTTGTTAACTTAGCAATTTAAATGTCATATCCCTGTAACTCTGGAGGCTAGCAACGAGAAGAGAACCAATAAATGTGCCACATTTTCCGAAGGTAGGAGATGAAGATTATAAATTGAAATGTAACTTTCACGCAGACAGTGAAAGTTAAACACATTCTGGCATGAAGCCACATCCCCTTTAAAATGTCGCTTGCAAGGAAGAAGACTGCCGTCTTGGTGCTGATGCTGCCCTGTGGTTGTCGGTCAAAGAAACACAATTTTTAGGTGGGCTCCAGGACAGAGGCACGCAGCAGCAGACAGAACTGCGGCCGGGCTCTGGGATCCCCAGGGTCCATTCGTTTCTTCAAACCCTGATCATGTCTCCTTTTGACATGTCTGAAAACTGGCTCAGGGAACTAAAGTCCACCTTTATTCGCTAGCCTACTGTGTGGAAAAATAGAGCGAGCTTGTAAACTGAGCTTTAGATAAGGTAAAAAGGGAAATGTGCCACGTTAGTAGCAAAACAGCTCCCTCTGAACGGAGTGGCTAAAACGAAAGAAATTCTCATTGCTCCGTAGTTGCTGTTTATGTCATTATTTGAAAGTTACAACTGATACTCCGATCCCATGCAAGCCGATTAATACGGAAAAAAAGTGTTACAGTAATGACGCGTATTTTCTCATGCCGTCACTTACATATCGACACATCTGTCTGACTCACACTAAAGTATCAAAAAATTGATATATAGCCTTACTCAAAGGGATTTAAAATTAATCCAAACCATGAACACTTAAAAATAGTATTTATGACACAAAAGACTAATACTAAACAAAGTGAACATAAAGCCAATTAGATATCTCTCATGTTTCTGCTTGAGTATACATATAAAATGTACATACGGCATGGGTCTTGGCCTTGTTTGTATAATATTGCACAGGACATGTCAATGAAAAACAAAAAAAATTATAAATATGATTTAAGATTTGAGTATGATTTCTGGCATACTACTAACTCCTACTGAAAATGTTTCACTGTGTTTTGCAGACCAGTTTTTTAGGGAAAAAAATGATTTTATTAAAGACATAGTTTGCTAAAAGCTTTAGTAAAATTATTTGTTCATTACTTATGTAGTAATTTCTTTGGGAAAAGACTCTTAAAGTAGTATGGTGAGCAAGACTCAGACTACCCCTTTATTAGGCATGGGAAAAAGGCAACAGATGACACTGAAATACATCTCTTCTCGAATTGGCTGAACATTTAAGTTTCAAATGCTGGAGTATTTGTTCTCCAGGAAGAACTGATCTGTAACCTTTGGCTAGTGGGACATTATATTGTTTTCAATTAAATATTACAGTTATAATGTATGTGGTAGAACAAGAAAGGTCAAGTCCGGTTACCTGGAATCATAAATTTCCAAATTTGTGACAGCACTGATTTAAATGCGAGGATAGTACTCCTTTCTTCCCACACCCCAAATTTCAAGAAGTGTTTAAAACAGAGAAAATGCTGCTTTAAAGGAACCCAGTGATAATAAAGGGATGGAGGAGAGTGGGCAGAAAAAGTCCTTTAGAGAAAAGAAAAAGACTATCTCTTCTAGATTATGGACTATGTCATAAATACTGAAGAAGCATTAGGGGGGAAGTCCCTTATACAATCAAACTATGCTTGATGAATAAACTCTGTGCCAGGGGCATTTTCCGGGTTCCAAATACAGAAATATATTTTTCTTCCCTTCAAAATAAGGTTCATCTGCCAGAGCCAAGTCAGCCCAACACAGCCACTGAAAATTCAGTGCTGCTAGGAGCTTCCCAGGAAGCTTCCTGAACATTTCACCTTTGTTTCCTGTTGTTCACAACCCTGGTTGTATATTAAAATCACATGGGGAATGTTTTTAAATCCTGCTGCTCAGACCTATTAAGTCAGAATCTCTGGGAATGGGATCCAGCCGTGGACAGTGTTTAAAGCTCCCCAGATGATTCCACGGTGCACCCCAGGCTGAGAAACGCAGCTTTAGGCAGCTCTACCAGCATAGCAAGTAGACATCGACATTCTTACTTCTTAGAACATGAAATGGGACTTCAGGCGAGTTCTCTTACTAACTCAAAGTTAAGTTCTACCCCATGTATGGAGACTTCCTTTTAGCCAAAGAAAACAGAGGGCTGTGATTTCTATAGCCCCTACAAGGTGTTCCTTTTCAGCAGGAAAATGGGTGACTGCTTTACATGGTGCATTTAGCAGCATCAGATTCATCTGGAGGCTTGTTAGAACACAGACTGCTGGGCCCCACCTGCAGAGTCTTGGATCAGAGGGACTGCAGTGGGCTGGGGAATCTGTATTCCATACAGGGTCCCTGGTGGTGCTGACGCACCAGGCTCCAGGTACTGGCTCTCTCAGAACCACTGGTCTAAAGGGAGCTAACTAGAAGGACTGAGGAGTCACGGTGGGCTCTGGTGCCACAGAAACAAGGATGTCAACAATCCACTTGAGGCAGCAGAGTTTCTTGAAATTGTGAACAGAATGAATGGGGACTAAGCACAGAGGGGGGACCTACTCGTGAGTTCCTGAACCAGTAGCTAAAAGCAGGACAAAGACGGGTGGCGATGTGATTCTTTCAAAGAAAATACTCGGTCCTCTTTAAGATGAGCTCTGAGCTCTCTCCATATTTGATTTTGTCCAGCCTCTGAGAGCTTGGAATTTGGGCCAGCCTCACAAGAGGCTCCAATTAGGGCTCATTTTTTCACATACGGCAATGCACGTGCCAAAAAAAACAAAAAACAAATATAATTAACAAAATTGTTTCAGCTGAAAGTGAAGTTAGCCAAATACATCAGCAATTCATTTATAGATCCAAAATGGCAGCTTGCTTGCCCTCTGACCCTTTACCCACAATATTTATCCCTAATTGGAGCACCACCATTAAAAAAAAACCTCATTTCTGAAGCCCCACATCTTTCTGAAGCTCCCTGGAGAACTGTCAGTCACTCACCAAGATACAGAAATTCCTCATTGTGTTTAGTGCTCTCTGTAAATGATGCAGGACACACACCCACCCCACGCTGACATACTCACCTCAACTAGTAAACACCATCTGAGGCAACCGGTCCTTCCGCAGGGTCTGCTGAATACCTAACACACTCACAACACTTTTTTTTTTTTTGGCAAAACACTTGCTTTCAGTAAAAGGGGAAGAAACAAACTTTCTCACATTCCCTCACATGTTAAAGAAGGAAAAAAGTTCAATTGTACTTCTGAGCTGAAAAAAATCCATCAAAACTAAATATCCAATGTCACTTTTTCAAAGAAGAGGGAGGCAGCCTCAATTCATGTAATTTATGTCTTCTGACGTGCTAACAAATGCTGTTAGTTTAAGTAACGGATACAAACGTTCTAAGGCTGGCTGCCATCTTAGAAGAGCTCCACAGTGATTTTCGAGTCTCAAAAAAAAGGTTGAATGATCCTTTACGAGATCCTGTAAAGTTTATTTTGAACTATGACTGAGGCAGAGGGTAACTGGAAAAGATCATAACTGAAAATCAAGGGACCTTAATTCTAGGTTTTGGTCTCCTGTTGCCACACAGCAAGGTCAAGAGGATGTCGTATAATAGTTTTTCGATCTTTCCCATCATCACGGTACAAGAGAATGATACGTCTCCTTGTCTCAAAGGATATCTGGAGCTTGGCAGGCTGTGTGGATACATCTGAAAAAGGATGGGCAAAATGGCTTACCTTTAGGCCCCCTCAAACCAAGAGCACCAGGGGGGCCTTTAATGCCTGGGAGGCCACGAAGTCCCATCTGCCCTGGGAAACCATTCTCTCCAGGTGGTCCCGGGGGACCGGGGGGTCCAGGCCTCCCAGGGAGGCCAGACGCCCCTGAGTCCGGTCGCTTGAGACTAGCAGCCATCTCAGCAAGATGCTCTAAAAGATAATAAACAAAACAGCCCAGAGAAGTCAGAAACATGAAAGTGATTCAAATGAAAAAAAAGGGGGGGGGGTATTTCAAGTGTGTTTTTTTCTAAATGTGTCACCAGAGCTTCAAAATTGGTGGTGGGAAGTGAAAAGTGAATAGAGTTAGATCATCTTTCCATGGACTTTCTGCCAAGAAGCTTCCCTGGTGCTGTTTTATTCAGCTCTTTTGGGATATATTTGGTCCTGCTGTTCTGAGACAAGGGCAGGGGGATAACACACACACACAGCAAAGCTTTCAGGTGAGTACTGTTCTAAAAGGATGAGTCTGTCACCTGAGTCCCAGCTGGTTAGCTGAAAACCCAGGACAGGAAGAAAATGAGTTTCTTAACAGAGGGAGAAGTGGATGTCCCGAAGCTTTTTAAAAGCCAAGGACATTGTCCAGAATTAGTATTGAGAGAGCATTTGAGACCTAGCCCCACATTTTCAGTCTGAAGATATTAAGTGACAGTGACCTAAAATATCCTGAGCATTCACAACTTCTTATAAATTCCCCTCTCAAAAGTTTTTTCATGCTTGGAATAGACAACAGACATTAAAAATAGCCTGCTTCTTGGGAATGTTCACAGTCTGTCTTAAAAATTAATAACCATGTGGGCTTTTTCAGGAACCATTAAATAGAGTAAGAATCATCCACTGAAACCATGAAGAGCAAGAAAACTTTCCTATGGAAATACTCTAAGGGAAATATGCCAGTGTAATATTTTTTAAAGGTGTGAAGGAGATTATGAATTGGAAACAAATTTCTAACGAACATTTTTAAATTGTTTAAATGTGAGCATTCTAGTTTGCCTTATGTAAGAGTTAGCATAAAATTATAATTTCCTAGGGATATAATGTTTAAAATTGAAATATCCTTTCAAGATTAAATGTCTGCCATAAAGAGACTTATATTGGCTTTCAAATATAGAAGTGACAATTTCATTCTGAAAAATTCTACAAGTCTACCAAATTAGACTATCTTATGAGCTTGCAAAAGAAGAGTATTTATCATGACAGAATTGGTTCCAACTAGAATAAGGTAATTATTTGTTAGAAGGCCCCAAAGTTACAGGATCTCCCCAGTTCCTGTCTCCCCAATTTCTTCCTTTTCTATGTGATTTTAGAACTAGACCAATTCTAAAACAGCTATATAGCAATTGCTATAGCTAATGAATTTAGATAAAGGTTAACAAATGTAAAAATATATCACCATTTTGGTAAAATACTAGTTATTGGTTTTCTACATACATGATACATGAGTAGAGATAATGTCCTTATGCTTCTTATGGGCATGAAGACTGTCAGTTACTTCACATATAAGCTACAGAGAGAGCCGGGGTCAGTGCCAGGGCCACACAAAGTGGTAGGATGTTAAGGAGGGGAAAGATACCTGAGAATCTGTGTTCCAAAGCGGGGGGGGGGGGGCTTGTGTGTGTTTGTGTGTGTGCTTTCTTGTAAATTAACCTCCTTGGCAAAAAACAAAACCAAGAACAAAAATAGGCTAAGCCAGGGGTGCCTGGGTGGCTCAGTTGGTTAAGCGTCTGACCCTTGGTTTTGGCTCAGGTCGTGATCTCAGGGTTGTGATCTCAGGATCATGAGATGAACGCCCGTGCTGGGCTCCCTGCTCAGTGGGGAGTCTGCTTAAGACTTTCTCTCCCTTTCCCCCTTCCCTTTCCCCCCACTGGCTCGTGTGCTCACTCTCTTTCTCTCTCTCTCTCTAAAATAAATCTTTTTTAAAAAATGGGCTAACCTAGAAAGATAAAAATTTTCTTTGAGGCTATAAGCTATTCTGTGGCAAAAAAATTAGATAAAACAATTAATATAATATTATTCAGAATCTTTAAAGCACACCAAAAGTCAAGACATTATGATTTATTTACCTTGCATGACTCTCATGCAAACCTGCTTAATGTGCTGATCTGTTGGTGCTCTACCCTGAGACAGGGGGGAAAAAAAAAGATGGTTTATACACAGAACCATAAAGAAGACGTTGTTAAATGGTAACCTGACAGACTCAGCAAGTGGCCAGGTGGCTGGATTTACAGGAGAACTCTCCCACACTGCTGAGGAGCTGGTGTCTGGGCTCGCCTGGCTCCCAGCCACCCTGCTGGGGCTGTGAGCTGGAGTCTCCAAAGGGAAACCCCGGGGACTGCCCACCACTCACTGGAGGGCCCTGGATGCCGGGCAGGCCGGTGGCACCCTGCTCTCCCTGCACGCCTTGTGGTCCAGGGGGTCCTCTTGGGCCTTCCATGCCAGGAAGCCCCCGACTTCCTTCGGGCCCCCTCAAGCCGGGCTCCCCAGGGTTACCCACCTAGAACAAAATGGCACATTATAAAACCAGGGCTATACACAAGTATTTATCTGCTTAATATTAATACAAGACTTACATGAAATTTGGGGTTTGCTTACATTCTGTCTCCCAAGAGACGTTTGTTCAGAGGTTACAAATTCTCAAGGTAAAGACACAGAATGCCACAGTCTCTGAGAATTCCAGTTCAAGTAAAGTTTTTCAAAATCTTTCTTTTTGGTATAGTTATTATTTCAAAATGTTAATTGAAATAATGCATTTTTAAACTGCATTCTTTATACTTTAAGCCACTTCCTAAGAACAAGTTCATTTTTAATAAGGCTTGTGAACTTTTTCTGGCCACAAAAAGGCCACTGAGTTCATACAAGACATGTTACTTTGTATATCACCAATACAGAAAGCATAAAATAAAGATATTTCCAAGGACATAAGTTATTTAGCTTTATAACACTCAGGAGAATTTGAAGAAGCACATGTATCCAGGAATTATAAACTACATTTTATAACATTAACTAAATACATTTAAAATGTCACATTTAAAATGCTGCAGTTAAAATGAATACATTTAAAATACTGGAACAAAAAGAGTGAGTCCATAATTTATCTAAGTCTTGAGGAAGTTAAAAATCTAAATATTAAAGAAGTTAAAAAAAATAAACCAACTGTTTCCTTAGCACAAAAGCATATACCAGATTTTTTTTCCCTGAAAGCAGACCACTAGAAACATTTTTAAGAGTCTCCATCTACAATAACTGCTTTAAAACAAAGCTAAATTAATTCACTTTCGGTTAAACTACCTCTGGTAGAATTTATGGCATAGTGTTTACAATGTGCCATTGTTTATAGAACAAGAATGAGAAGATAAAAGGACAGGAGGCAATAAGGGAGTGCTAGGGCTCAAAATGAAGTTCATGACGCGACTTAACCCTGCTTCTTTTTCATATGCAACATTTATCTACAAACAGAGGGCTCTAGAGGGGATGGGTTGGCCCGGTGATGGGTATTAAAGAAGGCACGTTCTGCAAGGAGCACTGGGTGTTATAGTAAACAATGAATCATGGAACACTACATCAAAAACTAATGATGTGATGTATGGTGATTAACATTACATAATAAAAAAAAAAAGAACTCTTTCAAACAGTCAGATGTTTTAAGCTGAAGGGAAGAAGGTGATAAGGCAGGGCTTTCACTAGATGCCTCTGAGTAAAGCTCAGCACCTATACTTTTTCCAATCTTTCTTTATGCAAAAAAGTTGATACTCATCTAAGTCAACTTGTCAAAATTGCTTCTATGAAGAAATTATGGCCTAAAAGACTTCCTGAAAGACAACAGAGAGAGCTAAGGATGTGCTGTGGAGGGTTCGGAGCTGTCAGATGACTACAGTATAAAACTACAGCAACTTCTAAAACAACCCTGAGGAGATGCCAAAATGAACTTGGAAGTGCACTAAAGAACTGGCAGGAAACAAAGGAGGCCAAATCAGAGTCCATCATCTTGTTGACAACGTCTGAAATACTGCTACAACATGGGACAGGGCATTTTCGATGAAGGGATGAAGGGCCAACATGGCCAGGATAGCTCAAGGGCCCCGGGGCTCTGGAAAGAATTCCTCAGTTGAGTGGTATACTGAAGTAGAAACTGGAGGTACAGACTTCACCTACTTATCAGGTTTGTCTCTGCTGAGATCACCGAGCAAAGTGAAAGTGTGTCTCCTTGACTCTGGGACAACACACTTCAGCTGCATCAGAATTAGGTGGGTAGTGGCAGAGAAGAGAGAGAGGGGGAAGGGGAGGTGATAAATCAAGAGTTAATTCCTAGTAATATACCCAAATTTAAATGAAATTAACTCATTTTGACCACTGCATTGTTCATTCACGTTTTCCTTTTACAACAAATCCTAATTACCATTGAACATTACTGGTTATTTCTAGATAGTGAGGTAGGATTTCTATTATCAAATCCTATCAAGGTTTATTCTTCACATTTTTTTCTCAATCCTAAACCATTTCTGTCAAAGATTCTTAGGTGTAAAGATGTTACTTAAAGCTTGAGACTGTCAACGGTGTTTGGAGAGTGTGTGTAAACAGGTGAGTTAATACAACGTAATAGTTTCCATCTCAGGGGCATGTAAAGAGCCCAGGGCTGGCACTGCAACCAAGTCTGAGGGGGAGGGGTGTTCTCCAGGGGGAAAGTTGAGCTAAGGATCGGGCTACATGCCTAAGTAGGAGGTAGCTCTTCTAAGGAAAGAGGAAGAGTGTTCCAGGCGAGGAGAACAGCACAAGGCATTAAATAGCATGCCAAGTAAAAACAATCGCAAACAGATGAAGTTCCAGATAGCTAGAGATGAGGTTGGCAAGGCAGAGACCACTTCATCAAAGACTTTATATATTTTGCTAAGAGTCTGATTTTATTCTATCAAATGTTATTCCTGAGGGGCTTATGAAGAGGAGGGATAAAGAGTAGGCTTTATATTTTTCTCTAGATGGCACTGGCTGCTATGAGGATAATGTGTTGTATAGGGACAGAGAAGAGTGGAGAAGATTCTAGAAACAGGAACGACTAAAAGATTAAATCGCAGCTAGGGTGGTGGCATTTGAGGTTAAGGTCTGAGCTTCATCTTCTCCCTTATACTCTCTTAAATTTCTTACTGTATTAAATGTGCATTCCTTTCAAATTAGTGAATCATCCCAGGTTTGCTGGTTCTCTAATTGGTTCTATACTTGGTTCTATTAATTTTGTTCTAATAATTGGTTCTATTATTGGTTCTATAATTCTGAATACATCTAATCTCTAAGGAGATCAGTTTAGTTTCTGTAAAATGATGAACTGAATGAGATGATCATTTTCTAGCTTTAATAATTGTCTATTAAATTTTCTGATGCATTATGACTTTATGTTACTTCCCCAACTAGAACACACAGGAGATTAATAAAATTACTGAAATATTTGCAATGGCATGAGTGCCAATGAAATTCATTTATACTCTTGTCACCACAAAGGACAAGTCAGTTCTTTTAAAATGACCCACTTGTGAAAGAAATTACTATGTATACTACTCATTGAGCTACTTATGATAAAAACTTCTTTTAGAGTGGATTAATTCAAAAGGCAGATCCATTTACACTGTTGTGAGGTGGTTCCCCCCACCTTTGGATGAATCCATTACTTAAAGAATAAATTTAGACATTAATTTCCTTGAAGGTAAGTCTTTTAAGAATTGAATTTTATAGTGATTTCATAAAGCAGAGCATTGCATTTTCTATGGCTTTATTGATATTTTAATTTTTTTATACCATTATTGTTCATTGTACTTACAGATCCCTTTGGCCCAGGTAATCCTATCTCTCCCTAAATCAATAAAACAAAATTATGTTAGAACCATGCATTCACGTTTGATAGTTTACTAAAAACATTTAATAGGTTATTGTGTTGCTGAAATCTATAGAAAACCATGAAGAGATGAACTCTGGCACTGGCAGAAAAACATGAGATTCAAAATTTGGATTCTAGTCCCAGTTCTGCTACTTTGTGAGCTTTGTAACCTCCTAGCCTTTGACTAACTTACCTGTTAAATAACATGGTAGAATCGGAGCTCAACTAGGCTCCAACCAGATCTAAAATGCTAGGTGTTGAGACTTAAAATGTGTAAGTCAAAAGACATTAAACTAGCATGCTGTTTTAAAATATAGTGGACATTTAAACCTGATGACTTCATTTTTGAAACTCTAACAATATTCTAAAACTCATCTGGAAAAGTCTATCAAACCAAATATGCCTGATTTTATGCATAAATCTCTCACCCCTAATTCTAGATATGAATTCAGCTCAAGTTCAAGCACATCAGTTCATCTCCACCACAAAACAATGATTTAAAACATCCTCTTAGCCCATAAAATGAAAATTTTTAACAGAAAATAAAATTAAAATAATTCTTTTCAAATTTACTTAATAGAGAGCTTTGCCTAATTCAGATGTTGCATTAATATTAGCTCTAAATCCTGAAAATCTGAATAAAACAACATCACAAGAATTTTTTTTTTTCTGCACTTAAGTGCTCTCTGGAACTATTTTATGAGAAATCTATCATCACTCCAAAGGACCAAATGTAAGTTTCCACATTAGGTCATGTTAGATTGTGTCAAAACCACAAAGATGAGTCGGCAGATGTAGCAGTTCTGGCAATAAAGAAAATTTTTTCTCATTCTTGCTACCTTCCTGGAGATTTAGCAGCAGCATCCTCTGGAGATGGAGGTCACTTCTTTGGCAGGTTTTAGACTATGGAAAGTACCCACGGTCAAACTTGTGAGCCACGGCTTTCTGGCTATAATAAAATTCATTTTGTTTCCATGATAGGCACTATTCATAGACTTTCTATAGTCATCTAAGAATCACTTTGAATGTCTAGGTGTAAAGCCACAAGAAAGTCACCACCTATAAGAGAACACTTTGTTCTCCGACGGCTTAAGGCCTGGTCTATCAATTTTGGGATGTTTACCCTCTGCTTTACTTGAATTTGGCTGCATTCATTCATTAGTTTATATAAGAGACACTGTAGCCACTGAAGAAGTCAGCAAGGATAACAGTATCAGAGAAAAAGAAAAATTACGTTTCTAGTACAGTTAGAAATCAATAAGGCTCATCATCAACCAAAACAAAATGTCTTACAAGTTCACCCCTTTCTCCTGTTTCACCTTCTTCACCAGACGCACCCTAAAAATTAAAATTAAAAGTCATATTTTTGAATTCTTACTCCCTTGCCTCAGTTTTAACCCGTCAACATTGATAAGCATTCCTAAGTGCCCACAGTGCCCACCAGATCATGCAGAAATACAAAATGCCCTCAATGGCTTTTCAATCTAGCTGTCAGTGGCTAGTCAAAAATAGAATAGAGCCTAAGAGAAAATAAAGCAGGTGAGGCTGAGTTTCTTCTAAAGTTAAGGATTAATGATCGTATCCAGCAATTTTATAATTAGGTAATCCTTGAAAAAAGGCTTTCACTGTAGAAAAAGGAACCCAGAAAAAGGACTAACTCTAATTCACATTCACACTTTATTTGTTAAGGTCTTGATACAGAAAAATTCAAAATATGATGATGCAGCTATAGAAGGCTCCATCGGTCACAAGTAAATCAATCTGGTGAATGAGAGCAAGGGACACTCTTTTCAATGTGTCATCTTGGAGGCAGAGCCATCATCAGCTCCAGCCTATTAAAGCAGTAGATAAGGTTACAGACCAAA